TTTGGATTTTTGTCTTTACAGATCAATGCCTGCAACGGGTTCTACTGTGATTACTTCTCACCAAACAAGCCGTATAAACCGACTATGTGGACTGAAGCTTGGAGTGGCTGGTAACCTCTACTTCTTCACATTTGAATTCATATAAATTTTCACAAGAAATCAATCGATCTAGTGAATTTATTTTATATATTCTATCTCAATAGGTTCAGTGCTTTCGGGGCTCCAGTTCCTCACAGACCTGTTGAGGACTTGGCTTTTGCCGTTGCAAGGTTTATACAGAAGGGTGGATCCTTCGTTAACTACTATATGGTAAGAATTTGTATGTTCTACTTGAGTTGTTTCAGTAATTACTTAACGCTGTACTACATCATATCGAAGTAAAAGAATCTTCATGTTTACGTCAACTGCAGTACCATGGAGGAACAAACTTCGGTAGGACGGCTGGTGGTCCCTTTATTGCGACGACCTATGACTATGATGCCCCAATCGATGAATACGGTACGCCATTGTTCTTCCAAGATTCTAACATATGTAACAATTTTCATGTTGCAATGGTATGGTTTTAGTTTAACTTATGACTTCTCATGGATTCGCCCCTGTTGGAGCTCATGCTTTTGACGGGGGAAGAAAAGTGCAAGAATGGTTGGCTTGATCATCTACCACACACAGCATTGCTTGTGATAATTCCAAAAAGATGTGATTTTGGATCGTCTCATCCAGCTTTTAGAAAGAAATGCTTGATCTTTTCTCCTGCGTGGGGGTAAACGTGTGATTTCCCACCTAGAGAATTATTTAGGTCAAATACTTGGGTTCTTTCAAGATTAAGAGAAGAAGATTAGTGGTAATACAGTTCCCACTCAGTTTGCTTATCCTTTTCCTATGTCTTCTTTTTGGTGCTAAAATCTTGTTCCTCTTCTACGAAGAAGACACTGTGCAGTCTCATTGGTCAAGCATCTGATGATGCAATACAAATCTATTTGATGCCGACTATTACCATTCCCTCTATTTGGTGTTAAACGTATCGTAATCTTTCTCAGGTCTGTTAAGGCAACCGAAATGGGGACATCTGAGAGACCTGCATAAAGCAATCAAATCGTGTGAACCAGCTCTCGTCTCTGGGGATCCTACAGTGACAAACGTCGGAAAATATCAGACGGTTAAATTCTTATATCTTGCTGTAAAATTTGCAAGAATCTTTTCGATGATTTGCATTTTGGAACTTTTCTACATTCGACTTGTTGCAGGCGCATGTATACAGATCGAAGTCAGGAGCTTGTGCTGCATTCCTTTCTAATTTCAACCGTCTTTCTTCTGCAAAAGTTACTTTCAACGGAATGGAGTATCATATTCCAGCTTGGTCCACCAGCATTCTTCCAGACTGCAAAACCGCAGTGTTCAACACTGCAAAGGTGAGAAATCTTTTATGATTAATGTTCATGATTGTATTCTATTACTGTACTCATAAAACTCACCTCTCCGTTGAGTTATTTGTTTCTTGGCTCAAGAAAATGTATCTCTCACTATGTATTCCAAATTTTCTTGGATGGAAAAGGACTTCCATGGTTGAATTTTCATGAATGTCTTAAACAGAAAGATGCTAATGATAAACACAGGTAGGAGCTCCGACGTCGCAGATTAATATGACTCGGGTTGGGGGATTTTCTTGGGAGTCCTACGGTGAGGATACCCACTCACTACTGAGGGATAAATCATTCTCAAAAGATGGATTGGTGGAGCAGATAAGCATGACGCGGGATCGGACAGACTACCTGTGGTACACAACAGAGTGAGTAGACGTTCCTTTGCAGCTTGTCTGTTTGAGACAGAATCAATGACCTCTATCACTCGATGACTCACGATCTCCACTCTTCAGTGTTAACATAGACTCAAACGAACAATTCTTGAAGAATGGCCGAGACCCTCTACTGACCGTGATGTCGGCAGGTCATTCTATGCATGTTTTCGTCAATGGAGAACGGGCCGGTGAGTGGCTTTGCCTTGTGAAGAATTGTGTCTTGATGATATGCTCAACTTTTGGTGAGGTTCCGATTTGTTTTTTGCTTTTCTTTTCTTCCGGCAGGGACTTTCTACGGTAGATTTGGCAGTCCAAAGGTAAGATTCACAGGAAATGTGAAGTTGCGGGCAGGAAGCAACAAAATCTCGATTCTGAGTGTCGCTGTTGGTCTTCCTGTGAGTACATTCTTTATTGTGAAATAATTCCTGGCTATTGATCCAAATGTTGAAATATCATACCAATAACCCTATACACTTATACACACACAAGATGGATGTTTAGACTCCGTATTCCTGTTCTTTATCTGTTTCAGAATATTGGCCCCCACTTTGACACATGGAATGCTGGTGTTCTTGGTCCAGTGACCCTGGAAGGTCTCAATGAAGGAAAGAGAAACCTTTCATCACAGAAATGGATTTACCAGGTTCCAATCAACTCTTCCTACCTGCTTACTCTCTGACTAAAACTTGCTTACTGGTTACTGAGTTCCATGTTTGTGTGTGTAGATCGGCCTTAGAGGTGAATCCCTGAGCATCTATACACTTAGTGGCAGTTCTTCAGTTAAGTGGGGGGGTGCATCTACAAGACAGCCCTTGACTTGGTACAAGGTCAGGAGTACTGGTTGCAACACAGAAACATGTTATCCTAAAGTTCATCTTCTTTCCTCTCATGCATGAGACTATTTTCTCACTCATTCTTTGTCATCTTCCAGGCTTTCTTTGATGCTCCAGCTGGGAACGAGCCATTGGCATTAGACATGAGTAGCATGGGCAAAGGTCAGATATGGATCAATGGACAAAGCATTGGCAGACACTGGCCTGCCTATAAGGCAAATGGGGTTTGTGATTTGTGTGATTACAAAGGGACATACAGAAAGATGAAATGTCAGACTGACTGTGGGGAGCCTTCTCAAAAATGGTAATGAAACACCTACCTACCTTTTTGTCCACTTCAGTCAAAGCTTGCAAAAGAATCGAATAAATGACTGATTACTGAACACAAATCTCAGGTATCATGTTCCTCGCGACTGGCTGAACCCTACAGGAAACTTGTTGGTTGTGTTTGAAGAGTGGGGTGGTGATCCAACTGGGATTTCTTTGGTGAAAAGAGTAGCGCTATGAAGAAGCTTGTTGTCAAAACCATCTGCAGATGATAACCATAGATGGTAGACCAAGTAAAGAAAATGTACTAATATCAATTTATAGAAACCAAAGTTGTGTGATTGGTGGAGATGCAGGAACGGCACACCCACTTACTTTAAGGTATTGCCTGGTTACGTGAGTAAATGTACGTAGAAAATATTGGATGCACTCTGCATATTACTTACTGCACGTGAGACTCTCATAACATATTGTAATTGCAAGAGCTAAGCTTTTGCTTTTGTATTATTTAAGCTTATAAGCATTTTGATCCATATTTAAGTGATCATTCTTTACCTTTTGAATTGCTTATGCAAAGCATGGAGGACTTGATTCCTGGTGCAATTGTGTGCCTGTGCTTTTGAGCTCTGAACTTTTTGGCAACCACTTCAGATGGCTAACAAGATGCATCGTGAAGCCTAGATAGCTTTCATTTTTTATCATCCACAAACAATAGTTAATGTTTCGATCTAATTTTTTTATCTTGTACCTTGTGCCATCATTAAGGCCTAGTAAATTGGCTCCGATACTACTTATAATAGGAAGGATCAGTTGTTACATAATTACGAGATATAGATCGAGTCAACTAAAAAATTAGACAACAAGTAATTTAATATGATTTGGATTATGATAGATGTCGTTCCTAAATCTACGAGAAAAAGAAAATTCTTAATAAAACTTGAACCTTACAAAGATATAATAGGAGAGTCATAACATAATGATGATCTCATTAGATAAAATTATGATAAGTTTTGCCCAAATACAATAAAAACATGAAGTAATGATATAATTTTAAAATTATCCTTTTGACCATAAGTTGATCGGTGTTAATCGGATCATAGTCAACTTCTTTAATTGATATTGTAATCAAATCTCCTAATTTAATCCATGATTATTTAACTTCTTTTCTTGCTAATAAAATTTAGAAAAGGAATATTCAACGTGCAAGTTAGATGATATTATTTCTATCAATAAATTAAAAAATAAAAATTAAATTAATATAAAAATTAAAAAATTATTATGTTACGAGGAGGGCTCACCTTCTATTAGAGGGGAGGGATTCCTCTCCTTTGTTTCTCACCAAGTCAAGTCTGGTACGGGAAAAAACAAGATAGATTCCCTTATCTTTTCTAAAAATAAATATTTTCTTCTATTCCTTTATATGTTTTAAATTATATATATATATATATATATATATATATATATATATATATATATATATATATATATATATATATGGATTAACAATAGTTGATTATAAATTAACAAATAGTTGATTATAAATTATTTCCTCTCTTATACAGTTTTATCTTTTTAATCTACTACTATTTATTTTATTATGTTACAATGACTTAATATTAATGATTAGATATCTTGATTATAATTTCATTATGTTATAATTTAGTATTAATGGGTTTGGTTAGTACTTGGGCTGAAATCAGCCAATAGATGGACCTAAAGATAATGGATGGTTAGATTTCAACATATACAGCAAAATCCACATTTTTTATCCAAATTATTCAACTTAAGATTCCTATTTCAAGTTACTAAGATGAATCTCCAGATCAAAATACATCAGCTATAGTTGATACCAACCAATTGGTACCCAAACATCAGTAGGAGTAGGAACAAAAAGAAGAATCTTATCTGCTTGACTAAAATCTAGCTTTCAGTATTCTCAACTCTCTTACAAACAAAATTATCATTACTCAATTAAACTCATCTTCCATTATCCTCTAACAGAACAGCTTTAGCTGGAAACAACAGAATCCGATCGGGTTTCAGAAACTCATCTGCAATCCTTCTTGCTTTTTGCATGCTTGCTCTTCCAGAAACAGTAGATATTAATTGACCTTTTAATGAACATCTCACAACTCCACCAGTCATAGATTTGTTTCTCAGCAGAACATCTTATTTTTCCTCGACACAAGCTACTGAAACAGAACACACACACACACACACATGGACTGCTGCATCTCTCACCCTCCCTTCCCTCACAGAATAAGGTTGATGCCCTGAGCAATGAGGGAATCGGCAAGCACTTGGTTTGCCGATTCCGATGGATGGACGCTGTCCCAAAACACATAGCCAGTGGCATTGGCGCATGTCCCGACCGAATGCGGATTGCACAGAAACGATGTCGTCTCCACTGTTCCCGTCCCGCAGCAGCCTCTCCTGGCCTCGAAGAATCCTGAGAGTACATGAAGCAGGAATGAGACCTTCGGAATCGATGTGGAAATGTAAACGCTGACCTACCGAAGTCGGAAGGCTTGGTGGCAAGATCATGTAGAGGCTTATAGATGTCGAAGATGGCAATCTTAAGGTTAGGCAGCTGCTTCGCCAACGAGTCTGCTGCGGTATTGAGCTTCCTGTTGAAGTTCTGTGCGTCGGAGTTGAGTCGCCTCACGCATTCGTTGCTGCCATGTCCGAAGAGCGTGATGGACGCAGGAAGGCAACCCAGTGGAGGCAAGGAAGTCACTCCAATCTTTCGAGCACCTAGGCCATAGAGATCCTGCGTCGGGAAAGGACAACAGTAACTGAGACAGTCAGAACGAAGCACATCTCGAGTTGGCATGTCACTAACCTTAACGAAGTTGCAGAAGATGTGCACAAGGAACGAGGAGAACTGATCCGGTGATCGGGTCTCGTAAAGATGAGGGTTGATGTAGTAGTTCTGCACGAAGTCGCTGGCTCCGGTGCTCACTATGTAGAGAGCGCCGGAGATGATGGACGATGCCTTACTGGTTCCAGCCACTCGAGAAAGCTTGTGTTGGTACTCCTTGTAGAACTCCAACTGCTGAGACAAGGGAATGGCATGCTGCATGCAAAGTAGCAAAAAGATGGACATCATACCATTATTGCAGAGAGTGATCCGAAACCATTTCAGTGAGCCAATTCCCACTAACTTACGTATAAGTAAGCAGTGTCATCATAATAACCAGACGCAGCAGAAGCAAAATTGGCTCCGATAAGAAGGTTCTTCCCTGATGCTTCTGGGCTAAGATAAGCAGATGGGTAGCTGGAAAATCCCAGGGTGTCAGCTGCAACAAAAAGCTTGTGAGGGTCGCAAGAGCACATCAGAAAGAAGATCAAAGATGGAATGCATGAGTACCGGTGATGTCTGTAGCCAACTTCCCATTGCAGAACCTCCCGGTGGGCTTATGGTTCTTAAAGTCCCTCCCATAGGGAGGGAAGTCCGCCTTGAAGATGGTCTTGAGGTAGTCATTGTTGCCCACATCGACAGTGGAGTCGCCGAAGGTTATAATGGCCGGCACGAGCGCGGAGGACGCCTGTGCATTCCCGCCGATGGGTCGCAAGAGGAAGAGGGCCAAAGCCAGCAAAGCCCCCACAGCACTGTTGCCACTCTTTGCCATATTTGCTCTTTCCACGGGACCAAATTGGCAGACTTAATTACGAGAAGTACAAGTTCTCTGTCACGATAAATACACGAGTGCTTGAAGGCTGAGGAGACATTAAAGTTTGAGGAGATCTTTAAGAAGCATTCAATGCATGTATGTGGGCGAGCTGGTGATAGCGCTGAGGACGAGACTTACCAGTCTCGCACTTGCCCTCCATTAATCTCTGCAACTACTATGGCGACGCTTAATTTTGATGAACTGTGACGCACTGCGGTTGTTGGAGAGTCGGGCGGTCATAATGAGGAATACGGGGGGCTGCCTCGATGGTCTCTGATGAGAAGAACAGCTTCTTTAACTGTGCCAAGTGCGTTCAGTGTTTGCAGGGAGTCCAACTACTGCATAGCTAGTGCTATAATGGGCTTTGGTTTAAATGCACTTTCCAGTAATGAATTCTATGGAACTTCATTGACAAAAGTTGGATCTTCGAAGCAGTACGTGTGAGGGGTTGCCTCCATATTCTCTGATACGAAGATAAGCTTTCAGTCGCTGAGTACTAGCGAGGGTATTAAAAGCGAGCTGCTTTCGGGTAATAGAGGCCTTGTAATAGTGCGACTTGTTGGCAAGAGCCGTGCAAGAATCTACCTGCTCGTGAACAGATCAACATAGCTAGATTAGTAACAGGAGGGGCCTTGTAATAGAAACCAGAAAAGTGAAAACACTATATATTGAGCGGCAGAAACCAGCTTAGTTGGGGAAAACGAGGAAAATAATTCAGAAAGTCACAGGTTCAGCCTTCATTCGATCGAGGAAAACGAGGAGATATCTTGAATAATACAGAAAATAATGATCAGCGATTTACTTGATTCTGCTCCGTTTTGAGATGGAATGGATGTGCTGTGCACATCTAGTTATGAGAAAATGGAAAGAAACGCATGCTTGACGTGCAACCATAGCTCAATAACAATGATTCTACAGCTCTCTTAGCTGCAATAGCCTGAACCTGCCCAGGTGATAGTGTTGGTGAAACAATTTAGCTGGGCAATTAGGCTAACCACGAGACCGAACGCAAATTGCAAACCTGTAGTTGTGCCCACAGGTCCTCACTGATGCCGGCACAGGGAGAAGTGAGCTGAGAGGCACATCAGAGCCCCATCGAATGTCCCAACTCCCAGCCCACTTGGTCACTGACAGCTTCTGAAAGCACATCAACCGAAACATCATAGGCCAACTCCTACACAAAAACAGGAGGAAAGAAATTGCCGCACAATTAGGACTTTAAAATAGAGAGAAGAGTTTCATCATAAAGATTTCCCAGACACAGTATAAGATGGAAACGAGCTTGCAATCTACATATCATTTAGTAATTTATCACTGTGCTGGCTGTTATATAATTGATGACAGTTCACATAACAGGGCCTAATGACATCGAGATAATGATGCTCTGGTGCTCTGAAAGACGAACAGCAGGGAAGCATGTTTTACATCTATAGCCAGAGCTCATCCCAAGCTCTAGGGTGGAATATCACCTTCAGCTGCTAATGATCACATTGGCACACCACTGCAATACATAATATTTGCCATGCTTGGACCAGATGACATAACAATGACCATTACAGATATCAAACTTCCTACTCGTTAGAAGAGGGTCAATTTATAGGTCGATACAAGTTGATTGTCTACAAAGAATGGCGTACATAATTATATTTACAAAGTGAAAACTGTGGCTGCACAATATCTGTGAGGGATGCTTAGCCTGCATCAAGAATGCTAAATAGGGCTTGATGCAGAGGAAAAAAAGATAAAAAAAGAAAAAAAACTTGTTTTCTTCCTCTTACCCTCACATTGTAACTCCAAAAAATCGAGTTCTTTGATTTTGGTAATGCTAACCACTCAAAATGTCATGATTGCCAGAAAAGGGTTGGGTCATTGCTATACAATGAACGGTCTTGAATCTCTAAATTTGCAACATGCCAATCAACAAGTCTTGCTTGGATACATTTACACAGAACCAGGCCAACTGGAAACAACCACCATCCACTCTCATCCCTGCTTAAAAAATAGGAAACAACCACAAATAAGTTGAAATATAGTACATAAAGATATTTTATGTAAATGCAATGAAAACTAATCTTTTAGGCAATGCCGGAAAAACTACTCACGTGCCCAAATTCCATGGTTGTAGGTTTTGATGTTTTTGACTTGAAGACTTGTAATGTACAAAGCCACAAATGAAGGCCACAATCTACAAGGTAAAGATATAAGCATCTTTTTCCCAAAATTTAAAAAAAAACACCAAAGGATAAAAGATATTTGAAGCGCCATGAATCAAGTGAAGCTAAAGATTTTAGATAACACATTCTTCTAAGATGCATGCAATAATTATTGCTAATAACTTGTTGACCTATTATTTATTAATTGAATAATCTGTAATGGCATAAGGAAATCTCACGTCAGAAAACCATACAATCTATAAGTCAATGATCAGTCCTGTAAAGCTCATTAATAAGTTTCAGATTGAAATATATCAAACTGCCTTAAGCTGTATAACTCAACCCTAATAAAAGGCTTAACAATTGACCTATGTTTCTCTTATTCTCAGAGAATACAGCACATAAGCTGAGAACAAAAGTGCTATATATAATATAGGAGCCACATTTTGTATTCCACATGTAAATAAATAAGAGTAGATCTCCACATGAACTAGGTCTTATCAAGGCAAAATTTAGAACAAAGACCATTCACATGTCAAGTAAAATCATGTCATGGATAGAACAAAATTTAACTAACACATGAGTTCAGATATGATGTGGATACATAGATCTGGAACTGGAAGATTATTGGTTTCCTCTTTGTTCTCTAGGCCTCTAGGGGAAGCTTGAAATTATTTAATTCAAAAATGAAGTGATGATTGTTTCTGGAAAAATAAAGTGCTGATTGTTGACACTGATTAACTTGTTTACAAAGATGAACAATCAATACATCATTTGTTAAATAGATCCAATTTCCTCTTTTATGCAATGTCAGTATTATTGATATTCTAATCCAGCTCAGCCCTACCAGATCTGTCGAGCAGGCATTAATTTTAATAACCAGAGATTACAGATGAGATGCAGTTGCTTAGGCAAACAAGGATCAGTAATGATAGTTTCTTCAAAGAGAGGATAATGGGGACTGTAAGAATTGCACATGTTCTGTCAATTGATGGAGTCTATGGCACCCGGGTAAAGTAAATGCTGATTATTTACTAATAGCCAGAAAAATAAAACCCTCCAAAAGATGCTTCTCTTGTCAGCATTAAAGCATTCAAGAGTTGGACCAAGCTACAGTTTGACCAAATTATTTGGTTCTAGATCATGTAGCTCATTGCAATGTACAGAAATTGCATGGTGGTAGAGATGAAATTAATATACCTGGTTAGGCATAAGAAAACTTCTGGATACTTGCTGTCCAGTATCAGCTATATGTTAAATACAAATTATTATTGGGTACCTTCTTTGACACATCAGATGCTTCCTTGACCTCCAGCTATTCAAAATCAATATAAAAAGAATAATGCCTTCCAGATACTTGGAGATCATTAGAGAAACTAAAACCCTCCAAAAGATGCTTCTCTTGTCAGCATCAAAGCATTCAAGAGTTGTACCAAGCTACAGTTTGACCAAATTATTTGGTTCTAGATCTCGTAGCTCATTGCAATGTACAGAAATTGCATGGTGGTAGAGATGAAATTAATATACCTGGTTAGGCATAAGAAAACTTCTGGATACTTGCTGTCCAGTATCAGCTATATGTTAAATACAAATTATTATTGGGTACCTTCTTTGACACATCAGATGCTTCCTTGACCTCCAGCTATTCAAAACCAATATAAAAAGAATAAATGCCTTCCAGATACTTGGAGATCATTAGAGAAACTATTCGGGATGTCTTTGTTTCTATTTATGTTTTAAAGATAAGTAAGATGATACATGATGTCACATATGCCATTTAATTATTCAAAAATATTTGTATCACGAGTTCTTATTGTCTCATCACTTATTAGAGCATTATTTACTGGAAGTAGTTTATGTTGTAATCAATAGATTAGGGATACTTTAAAGTTATAGTTAGTCATCATACATCATTAATATACAATTTAAACAAACTAAAGAAATGACAAAGTTTGTTGTATCTAAATTGTCTTCAAACATTTCTCTGTTACTGCAATATACAATATCCTATTCTATATTTCCAACTTTTGACATCTCACTACATCTCCTTGTACCAGTATCATGTAACTATACCCATGCATCGCACGACAGAACCAGAAGAGACAACCTTCCAAACTACAGTAAATGCTACCTTCCAATACCTACATGCAATGATGATCAAAGTAGAACTTACAAATGTTTTAGGATAGGAATGCATTTGTTTATATTCATCATGATACCAGCAATTTCATATCTAGAATTCATCTAGGAGTTGCCATAATTTATTACTACAAAAACACATTTGATGCTATCCCAAAACCCACAGATGTTTCACTATTCTTGATCTATCTATGTGGACTTCCATTTTCCAATGCCCATAGCTGCTTGAACCTCTGGTAAACTACCAGCACTTTGCAGTGTAACCTCTCTTGAAAGAATAATTTGTATAGTTTAAAATGCACGTTAACTATGAAACATGGAATTTGCAGGAGTTAATAAAGATAAAAGTAAAAGAAACTTTCCTTTATACTTCAACTAAACTTCAGAACAAGAAAAACAAAACAAAGAAACAATGTGACGAATTATAGCGTGAGAAGAACCAAGAGAAGAAAACTTACGACATTAATCAAAGATGTAATGTTCCATAAAGCATATACACGTGCAAGGCCTGCTGAACGTCGAGGTCCGTGACTAAAAAGAGCATTGATTCCAGCAGGGAATGGTGAAAGTATACCAAGAGGAAGAACGAACAAAACTAAGAAGACATCTGCCATGGAAAACGAATATAACTGGAGCAGTGTAAGCAGCACTAAGCTGAAATCTGCCAAGAGCAATATTGATATGACCAGACCAACAAGATCCTGCAAAAAAATAAAAATGAACAAGATATTAAGAACATTGTCAACAAGTTATTCATTCACCTATTGGCATAAGAGACCTGAAAACTAAAATTAGTAAGCACCTGATGCCCAACAGGTCTAGTATTATGCACAATGAGAGAGAAAGGGTAAAATAAGTCCTTTTTCTCCGCAAGCATTCTCAGGCTGTAACTGTCTAAAACCCCTCCACTTATCCTTTTATGTGTAACAGCTTCTTTATTCCTCAGACTACCAGCTTTTGTGTTCCTGTGAGGGCTATGAACTCTGCAGAGAACATTTATAACGACATTTAAACAAATAAGAAGGAAATTCAATTTCAACTATGACTTGTTGGACAACAATGTAAATAACAATAGCAAAAGGAAACACTTTCATTAAATAATAAATAGAAATACAGAACAACTTACCGCAAAATCTGATTGACCTTCAAAGTTCTACAACCACCATCAATTGCATTAGTCTCCGTCTCTCCTTGCACAGCATAAACAACAAGACCAAGTTGACAGTAGCCCAATGTAGTAGCTTGAAACCAGGCCAGATCAATGCAAATACCACGCTGTCTCAGAGAAGGATTTGCATGAGTTTCAAGCCAGCTGAGGACAGGCATGAATGTCACTTTAAGGTGCCCATGACGAACTAGGCGCAACTGTGCATTCAATCCAGCTACCAGCCTGTACCATATTGTTGGTGGCACAGCCTGCAATATAAAAAGAAAATACATTAACATGTATTCATCAATGATGTGTTTTATATTTACAGAAATAGGTTTGAGGATTTAAACAATAAGAACTAGACCTGGCTCATAAGACTAGTCAGGACATTGTCACTGTGGAGGGAAAAAGGAGCCATGTAACTTCCATCACCTCCAAAGACTAGACACATGGGAAATCTTTGATGGAGACGAGGCGGAAGGTCTGGCCTCTTTTCATCACCACCAAGAAAAAAGTCCAAATACCCAAGCATCAGATCTGGAGTTGCAGCCACCTACAATGAGAAATATTGATACATAAAAAACTTGAAATTTTCTGAGGTTGAATGAGAAACAAGTGGAATCCTGCAAACCGCCACAAAACCTGGAGCTCATTGCAGTATATTTCTATATATGCATTACCTACCTTAAAATTTATCGATGGCCTCCTATCAACATGTGGCCCATTATAGAGTAGAAGGCCTTTTCCACAGGATAACTAAGCAACATTTTTATGGCAAGATCCACCTGACTCAATATTTCAATAGGACTGGCTCCTGCCTCTCAGGGCACCTTAAATTTGCAATAACACCCCTCAAAACGTCCTAAAAATCTTCTTCAGACAACTCTAAACTACCTAAATGGTTTTCATTGTACTGACGTCATATGATGATAACCCAAATTACAACACCTTTTTAGTCCTTGCCAGTGACATCACCTACTGGCCTTAACATTGCTACCACAAAAAGCACCAATGCCATATGAGGAGAAATCTTCTCTAGTTTCAAAAATCTACCAGACCAATATGATAGCAGGGTCCTAGGCAATACACTGAATTGTACCGCCCACAACCAGCCAGAAAAACAATAAAAAGTAGTTCCATATTGACTTATGAAAAAAGTTGATTTATAGATTCATCAAGAAGCTGTACTTAGGAAAGCTGGGACTAAAAGAGTCCCCCAGTCAAGTCTTCCAAAATTGCATGAAACGAATAAGAACTAGAATATTAGTTGGTTAGAGCATGAATGTCTTTGCCAGTAAAAAAACAGCATTATTGGTGGTGCCTTTTCTATGGCTAATACATCATAATGAAATCATGTTGAATTCTTTGACCATAATCCATCACAAGGAGGGAAGGCATAGGTTGTAATGTTTTATCAGTCAGAAGTCTTCTCTAACATTAAGAAGGCAACAAGTTAGGAATTTTGATGACATCGTTCTAACTTACTATCCACAAACAATATCACGTAGATGAAAAGCTTGCTAACTGCTTTGCACTACAATTATCAATTCCATGAAAGATGGAAGTAAAAAAGCTTGCCAACTGCATTATAGGATGTAATCTCCATTTATAATTGAGCAAAAGGTGGAGGGCAATCAAAGATTTAACCATGGAAGAACAACTTACAAATAAGACAATATCCAAAAGACTGTTCAAACCAGGATGCAACTGACTTACAGAAGGCATTGAGTGACAACCAGCCAAAAATTCTTGAGGCCAATTATGAAAGAAATATATATTATTGGAGAATGACTTCATTTCAACCTTTTGTTCACTGTATTTCCTATTTCTTTTTTTAAATTATGTATCATTGTGGCTATGAATATAAGCATGTACTTTTCTTATCTATTACATCAGGTTTCCCAATAAGAGAATGTACAAGCTACACTGGGGACTATGGAGTGAAACAAGGTATGGACATAGAGGCCATGCCCTTGCAGCGAATCAGTATGAATGTTCTATTTAACTTTCAGCCAGTAAAATGGGACTGGATAACCATCCAGGACACAAAGATCTGGCATGTCATTATACATGCCGAGGATCAATGTGGCATGCGGTTCTCCAAATACTATTATGTAATAGCACAATTTCTATTGGCAGAAGCCAAAAGAATTGGCCAAACTATATGACGGCACCTTCAGCACATGCTGACACATTCCATAGGAAGGACAGCTCTTGCCATGTGCTAATGTGCTGCACACCATTAAGCGCCATGCAAAGCTATAATAGTAGTGTGCCTAGGCATGTTCCAGCATTTACACATGTGAACATCCATGTACATGCTAGTATGTTTTCCATGTGTTCCATCCTTCAGCTTCATATGACTGTTCTTCACATAAGCCAATGAAACAACAAATAATTCAAAGGTATAAACTATACTATACAAACCTTAAGCCCTTCATAAAGTGCACGTGAGCGGCAAGAACGAAGGCATGCATGATCATACTCTGATCGAACAAATTCACGCAGTCTTTGTAACTTTTTTCTACGCCGCCACTGCTGCCATGACCAGGCAAGTGGATAGGCAAGTATACATAGAATGCTGTAGATTGCACCTTCCCACCACTGATAAGCAGCAAGGGCATTTATCTCATCAACAAATCTATTGTATGCATCCTCATATCTGTGAAAGAATACGAAAAAAAATATTCAAAATCAGTTTAGCTCAAGTATACTGTTTTATTTTAAATAACTGACAGGGTGAAAAAACAAACATTCATCACCAAAAGAGAATCACAAAAAAGAAAGAGTAATATTTAACCAAGGTAAGAGATTCATAAAACATCCTACTCACACTATGTCTGTAATTTGTTCAGGGGGAGAGTGTGGAAGATGCCAAGGTTCACTAAAGGTGTTCGGGCCCATGAAGTACATTCTATGAACATGGCTTTGTGACTCCTCAACCCTGTTTGTTTCCAAAACCTATATACAAGAAAAGATGTCATAACCACAAATGACATAATACTTGTCTTAAAAATGTAGAATAGAGAAATAACTAAGAACCTCGTTTAATGACTCCAGAAAGGGAAATGAATGATCAATTTGAGACCCATGTTGAGTTGGAGCAGGGCCAGGTAACTCATCCGTACCAACAAATTTCATCCGTGCAACACTTAGAACTAGGGCTAACAAGACAAGAAGGCTAGAAAGAAGAAGACCAAACAACCATGGTCCACCAAAAGTGTTTATCAACTCCTCAAGAGCTGTGTAACAGTGTGGCATATGATATCTTTCAGAAATACATTTGTATGGACAAGGGGTTTCAGCGACACCTCCTGTTAGAATTATTAGCAACTTCAAAAATAATATCACAGAAAATCCAATAAAAATTCATCAATTAAGCTAGTATACATCAAATGTAATACTAATATTACACCAATACCTCCAAACAAATGGATCAAAAGACTAACACATAATTTACCAAATACTCAAGAATGCAAATTGAGCTATTATAAAAATCTGAAAAATAAATGTTAGGCATACCTCGAACACTTGTGTATACAGCACGATGAGGAAGTTCATTAGAAGGGCATTGGAAACATAGAGTTTCATCTGATCCAGTAACATTCTTGAATGTACCCAGAGGGCATTCCTGTAGTATATAAAAAAATTTTACAGTTCATTACAAAGTGAAATATCAAGGTTATTAACAATATTGTAATATGAAAACCAAAACAAAGATACCAAAGAACAAGTATATATAGCAAAAAATAAGGACACTAATCACACAATATTGTTGACTTTCAAATGCCACCATTTGTCAATGATATTCACAACCATCTATAGTTTAAGTAACAAAAGCTACACTGGTCATTTATCAGCTTGCAGATTGCACTTGCTAGCAAACAAGGATAAAAGTGCTATAGTAGCAACGTGTCAGTATACACATTATTGCCACATACTGTACCAATGAGAATACAGCAGCACACATTAGCATGCATCAAATCTACCTTTTATGGACCTCTGCACATAGTAGGACAAGCACAGCACTGTGCAGCACTGCCTCTACATTTTGTACCAACATGTGATAACCACAGGTCTGTCACACAATATCATAGCGCTCCACCACTTCTCTCATATTCACCAATTAATACTGAATCTAAAGAAGAGACTAAAATGATACTAATTAAGTAATTCGGATTCTCAGAAATCTCAAATTGGGCTCCATAGCTTTAGAATTATGAACCTTTACATTAAAATTTTAGGAGTGCAAACAATAGTTTGATACATGGGCAATTAAAACAAACTTAAACACAGCACCATATATTGGTATTTAAAAGTTAAAACCATGGATACACCCACCAAGCAATTTAACTTTGCAACATTTCCTTTGCTGTTATTTGCCGAAACATTTTGTCAGTTGTTTCTTTTTGTTATTTATCTTCTTTTCTCCATTTGACGTATTTTCTTCTTACATTTTCCTTATTGTCATCCCTATTTATTTGTCCACCTCTTCTCCTATGTTATTCGTTTCCTTTTTCCCCTGTTCTATTGTTTCCAGCAATCCTATCTCATGGTAGTTGTTTCCAGTAGTAAATAATAAGATCAATTAGTTCAGATCAATTGATCTAAACATGTAAGTTATCAACATGTAAAAACAAGATGAGCCCCTTTACACACACGCACAAGCAAGATCCTTTACTATATCTATTCAAACTGGTAAACAAGAAAACTATATCAGGAATGTGCATGGTTAGCTTTCTTAAATTCATTCTAAAACTAAATGGAAAAAGGATAATTCCTGTTCTCATTCTTGGAACAGTTTGTTACAATACATCAAGGCTTTACGAACTAGGATATAGTCATTCATCAATTCCCTTTCTGTTTTACTAGTGCTGCCACTCTCACTGAGTGAACTCTTGTGTAATACTGATATGACTGACCTAAGGTCATCATTTCATAGACTGACTAATGTCACATAAAAGGCTACCTTAGAAGAACAAATAGAACTAAAATATGTGAAGCACTATAATATTGTACAGTAACTAAACTAAATAAAAAATGAGAAGAATCATATAAAATGCCTTGATGGATAGAGCACAAACTAATGAGTTACCTCGCAAAAAATTCCATACAGGCCTTTGGGGCATGCTTTTCCAGTAAGTGTTCCATTTTCCCCTGCCAAACCATGGCCTTTGCTGATGCCACCCCTGTCAGAAGAAGCGGATGATTAAGATGCAAAGCAATAAAAGTTAACTGTATTTATGTAAGATTTTATTCATCGATTATTTTATATAACAAAAATATTGCAACTGTATTTGTAAAACTTCATTAGATAGAATTCTCTTTGTTAGCTTTACTAAACAAAAAAAGAACATGTATCAATGCATTAGGCAAATTCACAAGGACAAAAGCTTCTCATCAGTGACAGGTTTAAAACACAAGTATTAATCGACTATAATGAACTAACACAAAGATGTTTCTAAAACTGAATATTAAGCATAAATAAACTATTCCAAAAGTTTAAGAAAGACAACCTCAAATAAAAGAACATCACACACAATAACAAAAGGTACATGACCAACCAGGGCCAGGATTTTGGATTTTGTTCCCAAAGGAACGGATTTGGTGGCAGGGATTAGACATAATATGTTCCAATGATCTATTGACAAATTTCAACCATTATGAACAAAAATAATATGCAACTGACTAGTTGCAGAAACAACAAAAGCAACATGTGAATACTATATCATTTAACTAATGTATCCTCTTGCAAACTTACAATTCATGAAGTAGATCTTTATAGTTTTATTGTTCAATCAACATTAGGTCTTAGTGAACAAAATTCATGTGGATGACCTGAAAAAGAATGTACAATATCAGGTTGAGATTTAATAACCCAATTATACATGGGTCAAGTTAGGACTGAGTAGATTGTTGTCAACCCAAAAAAACCCTGACCCAAACCCAATCTAGCTGACCTTAACTAATTCAACAAGACTAAAGGTTATTCTTCTTTTTTGTTTTAACTAACAAGATACTCAAGCTTTACATACTTCATCTCCATCCACATCAATCAAAATCATGCTCAACTCGGCTCCTCCACTGTTTCACTCAGGTATTGTCTTGAGAAGACATCAAAAGAATCACAAATGATATATATTCCCAACTACGCAGGAAAACCATAATTTGCATAAAGCAAGATCACATTAATTATTAATTACTACAAAAATATTTTAAGAGAAAGAGATCGGACTTTATCTATTCCAATAGAAGACGAGAACACATTCGTGAATACTTATCCAACCTAAGGACTAGAAAATATACTTGAACTGTGACACTGTAACAGTCTTTGCCAGAGTTCTAACAGTACAACTCCATATACCATAGACCAGTGTTTAGGTGCCACACTGCCAGCCAAATCTCAAAAGGTACCCTGTAATTAAAACATTGGCATGCCTAGTCATGCAAAGATATATGAATACCAAGACTTCAAATTGCAGGTTTAAAATATAAATCCAGTGTCAATACCGGTTGGTGGTCAAACTGGTGTGGTTCCATTACGGATCAACGTACCAATACATTGTACAGATTGGTACTGCCTGTAGCTTGTGGGAGCTCCTTTCAACAAAATGCTTATCAAAGTGTATACAAAGATGTCTCTCACAATCATTCTGATATGACACAAGATATTATCTAACTAATACTATAATGAAGTCCTACAGCCTATAAATTCTTAAGGAGAGCTCACCAATAACAACATTGTAAGGGCACAACATTCACTAATATAAACTTTCAAACTTACATAGTTTGTATGGCAACCTTATTCCATTAAGTTTAATTATTATCAGACATATAAGAATAAGAGAATGCAGACACAAGAACCAATCAAACCTCGTGTTTATGGTTCCCTTCACAGTTGCAACTGGAAGATATTCATCCCCTGTAGAAATGTCAGACCAATGGAAGTGAATCCTTCCACCACCACCTCCTCCACCACCACTTTGACTGCCATGCCCACCAACACTTGAAAGGATAGAAGAATCACTGAGGGTCAAAGAATGCAAAAATAGAAGAATAGTACCACCAGAACCACCACCAGGCCCTCCATCAGGTGAGCCAATAGTGACACCAGCTTCCATGAAGTCTTCACCATCTGCTTCAACTGAGCCATAAACAGACAAACTAACCAATGGATGCTCCATCGACCCTATCACTGTAAAGGTAATCATGATAGCATGATAATTCCAAGCCGAAAGCATCAACATGATGTAAAAAAGTATATAACATATTTCCAGATATCAGAATTCATATTGTACGTAAACTTTTACAACTACATACTAGAAAAATATGTCAAAAAACGTAATTGATGGTAGATAAGATATACCTATGATACCACCACCACCAGTCGAGGATGGTACAGTGTCATTACCACTACCACTACCAAGCTCACATGGCAATTCAGCATTTCCATAAGCAATGCCACCCTTGACAATGCTTCCACCATAACGGCCATCTCCACCCCTCCCACCGTGTCCACCACCACCACCTAGACCATTGCCTAATATATTTCCCTGCCCAACACCACCTTTGCAGCCTGCATATGAGTAAAACAAGAAAAATTCAAGTTAAATTTATCGATTAGTCACTTCAACATCATAGTTGATAAAGAATAAAATAGGAAAAAACTGAACAAGAGACAAGAAAAAAATCTTAAACCTTATCAAATTTCATAGGAAAAAACCTATGTCCAAAAAACCTCTTAACCTACTTAAAATGAAAAATTAAAGAGACAAGTCAGCCAGCTGGCAAGCATAAACTGACCAGACATGTTGGCCAATTGAAGTATTGAACAACCTACAATGATGATGAAAAGAAACAAATAGTGTATATGAGTTTTGTTAAAAGATTTTTCCATTTAAAAAATAGCATAAAATAAATAAAGGACACTTTTCATTTGACCACTTTCATGATACACATGACAGTAAAGCCTATAGTTGCTAAATGGGTAACTATCAAAAAGTGACAATACACACATTTATGGAATATGGATAGACAAACACACCCGAAACATATATTAGGAAGTGATTAACTCCAACAAATCATAGTTTCATCCCTCAATCAAACCAAACATGACAGGAGAATCGGGGAACCACCAAAGGAATCTTAGTAATTCTAAAATCGATAGAGAACAAGACTTGTAATTGATTTTGATGTTACTAGTGTATTGTGATGGATTGAACCATAAAAACACAAACAAACACTTAAAATTTTGTCAAAAGAAATATGCTAACTAGAACCAGCCTGCATAAGTTGACCAAATTTGGTCCAAATACTCAAAAGCAACTAAATACTTTAATGAATCAATGGAATCAAAACATCTATGTTGCCAGGTAGCCAGTGCTTTTAGCCTGGCAGAATATAACCCACTACACTGTTTATTTCATTAATAACTGAGAAAGACTACGCACTTAAAATCAGTGAGGGAACAGAACATAAATGGTGTATGTAATATATGTAAGACATCATCATTATCTTTAAACCAGTTTGAAGTAAATAGATCATACCCAAACCAGTTGCACTAATTCTTCCAGTAGGAGACACAACTACACTTCGTGCCCTATGGAAATGAACAACAGTTCCTTGAACAAGTCCAGCAACATCAATATCTTCAACACGACAAATCTGAAAAGAAACAGACACCCACAAGTAAAATTCTAAGGCAAATTGAAATCCTAGAAGAAACAGAGTTGAAATAAATAAATAAATAAACAAATGCAAAATGAACTACCTGAAGGGTGAAAGATAATGAAGAATTAACATTGCAATCTTCTGGTGGATGAATCAATTCCAAAGGACAATCTTTTTCCTCACAATTCAGCCTAGGGGCCCTAAGACCACATATGATCAATGAATTCAAATATATAACCAGACATCAGAACACAATAATACACAGGCAATGCACACAGATACTTCTCAAAAGAAACAAAGACAAAAAGTAACAAAACCTACATGTCATCACCGGACGCATTTATTAGTGGACCCCTCAAAACAGAACCACGTCCAACCTACAGAAAAGCCAAATAGTAACTATACATTAGAAATAAAAATATAAGAAACAAAAGTTCTTGAGATGGTGGATCTAAAGGGTGGAAATATGGGATGATGAGTTTGTTCATGAACAGAAGTTTTAAAAGCAATTATTAGCAACCATATGATGCAAGTTAATGCAATGAATCCAGTCTGTACAAAGTAAAAGACAAGCATCTGTAGGAATAATATTCATCCGTTATTAACATCATTTTTCATCTTGACTAAAAACAGAAAAACATTCTTGGGTACACAGCCAGATATAAATTTCCAAAAGCTTGAACATAATGTACATTGAGTGATTCCAAAAGGTTGGCGGCGGTGATCAAACTCATGTTAAGCTATGCATGCATGTTTGCGAAAAAAGGTGGCTCCACGCACGAGGCTCTTTCCAAGGTATAATAAACAGCCTTACCCTTCAAGCAGAGACTATCTCCAAGATTCAAACCCATAATAGTCTCATTGGTTGAAAATTTAACCTATAAGAATCCCTTTGAACTACATACCAAAATACTCTTCTTTAACAATCACCTGGAATCTGCATGTGCCAATGGGGAAGGCTAAATCACTAGAATTACTTCCTAGAGAAGATATGCATGTGAATCATCAAATATGATCCTCAAAAGAAAAACAAAAGGTGCGCCTCATATCTACACCTTGCAAAAATACTATTTTGATTTAATAGCCTTTTAGCCCCAGTCCCAGGAGTCCACAAACTTCTAGATAAAAAAAGGTTTCAGGATGCCAGATGTTCATTCAGCAACTGATCTTCTAAGTATTCTACAATGTATAAAAAAAGGAAGAAATTTCCATTATATCAAACGGCATACATGACACACACATAAACACGTAGACTCGAACCTCAGACCTATAACTTATGTAACAATACATTAACTCGGATGTCTCAGCAGAGACAAGTATTTTACAATATCAACCAATAAAAAAGACTCTGTATTAGTTAACCTTAATTCAACCATTAAAGCATCAAAAAGAAAGTTCCCTTGAGCAGTACACAACCATGTAACTATTTAACTCTGAAGCTACTGTCTAGGACCTTTATTAAGATTCCAAGAACAAGATGAACAAAGGAAAGACTATAAATCATTCCTCAGCCAGTATAAAATCTTATAATATACAGTATAATATAATTAACAAACAGACAAAAAAACATTGTCTGCTAAGTTCTACCAGTGTTCATGGCTATATTATGAGGTAAACAAAAATATATAGATGACCAAGGATGTATCTGTAGCAATGAAAAATATATTCAACTATGTACACTTCAAAATAAGTGAAATTCATGTGTGGCCCTCTAAATTACCTAAAATTGCGAGCTTATAGAAATTATATAGTTTATTCACACTCACAAAATTGCTCGCAAGGAACACATTTTTGCATAAGTTACAAAAAAAGTAGCAATCCACCAGTCAATCTCAAGTACAAAGGATTAGAAGTGTCATACATCATGGTTTTGCATTAAAAATAACTTGTACACATTAATGCATGACCAGTGTTACATGTAGATATACAAGATAAGCAATTTAGCATTAAGTTATAAATACATGATAACAAAAGGTGGAAAGAGAAAAAAAAAGACAATATTTTGATCAGAAACAAGAACAGGCACATCATTGAGATGATATTGAGATAATATTGTGCAGATTGCCAAAAATAACTATAAAACAATTTAATGTTCAAATTAACAAATATGACAATTGCCAAGATTAAAGGATGTACATCATTACTCAAGGATAAAAGAATCTTCATAAGATATTCGACTGCAACAGATCTTGTGACCAAAATTATTATGCAATTACATATACTAAAGCATATACACATTGCATAAACACTATATCTTACATGGATGCTGTAAAAGAGTGACAATATCAGACGTTGTGCCTCAATTAGATCTCCAGGTCCAGATAAATTAAGCAGGCCTTGACCATGAACTCCAAGATTGGCATTAGAATGTATCATGGAAGATTCCTGACATAGAAACAAAGCTAGAAAATAGAGCTTCTGCCATCTTTTGCACACTACTTAGCTTTTTTTGGGAAAAAAAAGGACTAATCACCAAACAAAATTCATGACAAACTTAGAATCATTAGACTACCTTCAGAACAATCAAATTACTCGCCTCAAGTAATGAGGTTGCAACTAATGCATCCCCACCACCATTAATGAACATTTTCGAATTCCACATCAAAAGCATCTTCACAGACATTCGTAAAGCCCCAAACACCTAAATTCCAAAAACAAAATGAATGCTGATATCAGATTAATGACATGCAAGAGAGCAAGATATCTATTGAAAGAAAGAAGTGATCAGTATACTATGAAAAAAAAGAGTGAAAGACAGTGGTGAAAAAGATATTTAACTCATTAAATTCATTAAACAACCAAAACGCATCTATGAAGATAACAGCAGGCAAAGATGATGGATTCTACCTGATAATGTGTTGGTACATAACTACATACAAGAATTGACAATTTATATGAGAAAATTTTCAGGATATTTTATCATGAAATATGATCAACCAACAGTTAGTTTACTAAAATTGTCATCGGGATGAAGTCAAATTTATATTTGCACTTTCTTAAGCAATTGCAAATAGTACAACTAATTCAGAACAATTTCACCAATTAACAGGACTTCAAAGTTCCATAATGACTATTCATTACAGTCAAAAGGAACAAAGTCCAAGCATATAAATGCTAGGTACAAACAAATCTCAACCTCATGGAATGCCAAAGCATAGTTTTATGCTATAGTTCATTTTCCAAGTTTGCTTCAGTTTTTGTAAACAGCCAGTTATGGTGCTAAACAGGTCAGTTAGCAAGCTGTTGATGCAACTATATCAAATTAAACGCAAAAAAACACAAAGAAAAGAACATATAAAGAAGCAAAAGTGCAGATTACCATTCACTATATGTGATAACAGAAGCAAATGCCTAGTGACAATTTGCTTGAGTAGACATAGAAAAGACAAGAAACAAATACTTAGAGAGTGGGTGTGTGGTGCACCTTAATTATTGAGTCACTCATCAAAAGTTCTTCAGCCATAAGCTCAAACTCGGAGTAAGGGTAACGAGTCAGACCAAATGCCAACATACCACCAGAAAGAAGGCTAAGTTGTCCTTGAACCTGAAAAGAATATAGTAAAAGGCAAATTCAGAAGCATGTGAATGACTTATCACGATATGAATTTAATTATTGGACATTAGAAACAAAAGAACTTTGTTTTGTTACCATAAATGACAAAAGAAGTACACAGTTACCCACATCAAAGACATTCAAACATATACCCACATCTAAGTCATCTATATCAACCGTTTTGTGCAACATTTAAAACAAGCAATACCATGCATAGAAACATTTAGAGCAAATACATAATCATGTTCTAATGTGACCCAGAAGAACAATTCACCAAAAAGCAGGTTTCAATGGGCCATTAAATACAAAACTAGATGCCTTTCAAATCACAATGATTATGGCACACAACCACGATCAACTATTATATGACCCACATTCAAATTTTTAGAATATCTTAATTATCCATGACAGATAGAGCAAAACTGAAGCATTTTTTCATAATAAAACATGAATCTTACTAGTCAAAGGAGTGCTTGAACCCAGATAAATGATAAATAACAGTGTCCAAAGTAAGCAAAGTTAGGTTAACTATTTTGTCAGCGTTTTCTAAATTTACCTAATTTTAAAGTTACAGCCGTTAGAATCCATTGAGAAAGGTAAAATAAACAATTACATACAACAATATAAGACAATTTATGTACAAAATACCATTTACATACCTATATCACTTGTTTTCAAGACCAATAGAGAAATATAATCATATAGCAATTCAAAAAGACAAAGGAATACATGACACCAATTGCAAAATATATGGATCAAGATGGCTTTACATGCATAAGTTAAATTTTACTTGTCTTTTGTAACTTCCCAAAAAATAACTTTTTAATGAGCATAAATGTAAAGCTATAAACTTATGATTTGGTCTTAGCATACACTTGACCATTAACAATACAGAATTGATTGTATATTCTTTAATCACACAGATATAATGTTATTTTGGATATTTAAATTAAACTACATAAGCAATTGCATATGCCTTAGCATTCCACATATGCACCATGTGATAACTTGACCACCCACATACTGGAAATCCCTTTTCTAATATATTGATTTCATATTATGATTAAAAGAATTTTTGACTGGTCTCCGCCAGCATAAGGGATTTGCACAAACTAGTGTGCCAAATTATATCATGCAGACAACATATCAAAAACCCATAAACCCAATATAAAAACCTTGTAAATGAGAACAATTATCTCTTTAAAACATGTCCTAACCAAGCAAAAGCACCACATGCACCACTAATATTCAAAAACATATTATAGACATTTTGAGTAACACAACAGATTAGGCATGTTGTGCCATGTAGTCATAGCAGATGTTTTGGGATATAACTATTGATCAATGACCAAAATAATAAAAAAGAACAAGAAACTGACCTGTACGCGACTCCAAAGTAAAGGAACAGCAACTTTGGCACAATTTGTAATGAAAACATTAGTCCAAAGTGGCTGATAAGGGAACTCTAGTAAAAGTGTATCAGTCTGTGTTGACAAGTTATGGTTGCTAACTATAAGGCTCTTGGGAACAGCATCATAAAGAGTCCCTGCAGCTCCAGCATTTTCAGGGCAACCAAAACTCCTTCCACCTGCACAGACAATATCACTATACAGCATCCAAGAAATTCAAAATCCAGCGACATTAACAAGAAAAGTGCTAACAGTTATCATTAAGTCCAAGAATGGAGAATCTGAAAAACAAAGAATGCACTTAACATATGAAAACCATGGTTTTGAAGTGCTTAAGCATAAGATTTTTGGCTTATCCTGGTAAGATAAATTGGGTACATTACAACTCAGTTCCAAATAAAAGATTATAAGAACATTAAAAGGTATCTAAAGGAAAGCAATCAAACAGTGACTAAGGAACTATCCAAAGTATCGGTGTTCCTTAAAAGTTCTCTCATTCAGCTGGGGGAACATAAAAGGAGGTGTTGGTTCTAGAAAGTCAAGATACAAAGCAAACTGTAAATGGTTCAAGCAAGATGGAGATGAAGTGTGCTTCCCTAAGTAACAACCATTAGCTAAGTCTAGCAGGAATTTGAATCCAAGCAAGTTTAAATTAGCTAAGAAAAGAATAACCACGCAAGAATAAAACAAAAAATAGCAAAAATAGATCAGCATGCAAAATAAGAATCCTGCAGTGTGCATGCATATGGTTAAATGGACAAATAACAGGCACATGAAAATTAACGTATGCAAAAGTAAAATAACCAAATAAGTACAAATATCGATCAATACTCGAAGATGGACAACCATAACTTACCGTGAACAAAAGCATGTGGATCATCATGCCAGCTAAAAACTGCAATAGAAACACGTCCTCCTCCGCCACCAGCCAAACCACTACCACCAGAAGCACTTATTTTGCCAGTGCCCTTCCTGCTCTTCAAGGAGGAATTAAATAAACCCCACACACAGTTCATGATAATTTAATATGAGCATCAAACATCATTTCGTCATTAAACGAATTATACAAGTTTCCATGGAAAAATAAGGGCAATAATTGACATGCACTTATACTATGTCAATAAGAAGCTAAAAGATGTATGATATCTTTCCTGCTTAGTCTTGAATATTGACAATGGCCTAGGAAACTGGACTATTTCATCAACCTTCATATAGGCTTATAAGACTAAAGAAGCTGTCGAGTCGCTAGGACTGCACAAGCTTGATATGTTTTCCCATAGATATATGTGAAATGTCTAACACAAGTGTATGTAAAGTGATTGTTCAAAGTGATTGCCAAGAAGCTTGGAATTATCATACATACATATGTATAATCATGTAGGTTCATTGTGCCAAAACTAAGTAGGTTGCCCACATAATAAATAGTTGTATGTTATTACAGCTTATATGGTAAGAATCATCCTAGCATCATAAGGGCGTCATAAGGCATCTACAAAATTACATTTATTCTATAAACTATAAGATATCCTAAAGTTGCTCTAGAACAATTTTTCTCCCCATATGAATGCAAGTTTTCTATTTTTCAAAAATAATATAATATTTTCCAGACAGAAACAAAGCCAAAAAGTGAGCTGACTTATAATCACGTTCATCAATATGGTAAACCTAGGCAACTAGGCTACCATCAGGGAGTCAGGCTAGGTCTAATTCCCAGGATGACTCACGTTATTTGAAAATCTGTAGTCCTAGAATAAAAACAGTAACACCAGCCATATGCAAAATAGTGGAAAATTTAAAACCAAAATAATTGGGAGAAGGATAATCTGGATCTCAGAAAGTAATCTCACTCGATCAGTTGCTAGCGAGCATCATAACAGAAAAGAAACTAAAAAAACAACAGCAATTCTTATATCATCAACAGGGCACAGCCGAATGGGCAACACTTTACACATGCCACCTAGGATTAGATCACAGAGCTAGAGGATCCACGCATATCGTTTATGGTTGGAAAGATAGAGGAAAGGGAAGGGCAATCAAAGACTTTTGAGTAGATACAGCCGAGCCTCTACCATGTCAACACTAGTATGAGCTCATTGTATTCGATCTTATGCTCTAAATGTACAATGATAATTGTGGTCTTGATGTATGATGATAATTGTTCTTTTTTTTCCCAAGTCTTATTTCTTTTATGATATAGAGTAATAGATCAATGACAATAGCCAAAGTTCTAGTACACTGTAACCTCCGCAACCTTGCATGTCTCAACCATACTTGCCTTAGGAGGCTTCTCCGTCATGACCCAAGCCTGATGGACAAACTGGTTTATCAACTTTGTTTGGCCCATATCACTGGTCAAAATGCTTAAACTGAAGTTGACAGTAATACACTCATCAGGCCTCTATAAGTCAATCTTAATCTTGCTCACTTTCGATATGGGACTAATCAGGGTTTTACAATCTCCCGACCCAGCATAACCCAGATAAAACCGGTGCATCTGAGGAGTAGCACAATGGTGGCTCCACGCTATGATAAGTCCTCTGACTTCATCCACGAGTAGTCCTTTCCTATTCGAACTCTCTCACCAAATCCAAATACTAAATCGGCTCTAATACCAAATGTCACGACCCAAGCCTGATGGGCTAACTGACTTATCAACTTCATTTGGCCCAGACCACCGGTCAAAATGCTTAGACTGAATTTGATAGTAGTATACTCATCAGACTCTTATAAGTCAATCTTAATCTTGCCCACTTTTGATGTGAGACTACTCATGGGTGTTCCAATTATAGCACCCTGATTAGTCCCACATCGGAAGTGGGTACGACTAAGATTGGCTTATAAGGGTCTGATGAGTGTACTATTATAAATTTTAGCTTAAGTATTTTGGCAAGTGGTTTAGGCCAAACGAAATAGATAGACCAATTATCCTATCAGTCCTGGGTCATGACATTCGATACCAAAGTCGACCTAGTATTTGAGCATGATGAGGGAGCTCGAGTAGAAAAAGGTTACCCGTAGATAGAGTCAGAAGACTCGTCACGGCATAGAGCCACCACTATGCTACACCTCACATGCACCATGCTAGGGTTTGATCTGGACTATGTTGGACCTTGATGAGAACATCAAGCCCATGAGTCGGAAAAATTATAGCATCTCGATTGATCGCACATCGAAAATGAGCAAGATTAAAATTGGTTTATAAAGGTATGATGAGTGTATTACTATCAATTTCAGCTTAAACATTTTGGTCAATGGTTTGGGACAAACAAAGTTGATATGCTAATTAGCCCATCAGGCCCGGGTCGTGATATGCTCAGATTGCTCATTAAAAAAAAGGTCTAGATGATAATGTTTTTAAATAGGTTTGGTTTCTTAAACTCTTAAGGCCAAACCAAAACCATGCACTGGCAAACATGTATGCCACTAGTTAACAATTTATTTGTTACGAAGCCACCCTTTTTCTTTGTTGTTTATTCTCTTCCTACTTTTCACAACACAATCTCACCTTGAGAGTGAATAAAGTATAAGCAGTGAAAGAACCTTATTAAGTCATTCTGCAATGAATTTATTTGGTGTCAATTGGATGCTCACAATTTATGGTTTCTAATGCTTTATAAACGGGCCAAATCATACCATGCAGCCCAATAAATTATATTGCAAACAAATGATTGCAAAAATCTAGAGGGTTTATCTCCAAGAGACAGGAACCATGTCATCAGACCCAGTCACCCAGCAACTTAGGTTTAGGACCAATTCAACCATGAAATTTCTATAAAAGAAGATACAAATTTTAAAAGCATATACAAGACTCTCTAAGCAATTCAATTCTACGAAATTGGTAATTCAAAGGTAACACTGATCGATGATGGGAATAATAAAATAGAAAATCATTTTAGAATCCCCATTCATCAATTACTCGGCACTTCTTCTCTTACTAAGTTGGATTTCTATCAGTAACATGGCCCTCTCACAGCAGCTTGTTCATCAGGAACTGGCTCATCCTACTACAGTTACCACAGCCTCTCGGACTAGGTGAAATACAGCATTGTGCTCCCACTTTTTGAGCATCTTTCACATAGGCTTCCAACAAGGGTCAGATGAACTCAATCTCTCATAAACGATCAATATTGCAGTATGCTGGCCCATGTTTTCATTTCTTTCAACAAGATTTGCAAGATATGCATGAAGATCAACCAAATCTAAACCAAAAGCCTCCAAACTTTTGTGAAATTCACAAATTGCCTCATGTCTAATTGAAATCAGTGTGTCCAATCTCAGAATCATACAATTCAAAGAAACCAATTCTAACTCAATTGATTGGTATTCCAACCAATTACCAGTTGATTGTTTCCAGTTTTAGACAACCCTCCAATTACTGATCAATCTTAACAAATTAGACATCCAACCAGCCAACTTTCCAACTAATCTCAGTCCAAAAAATTTACATAATCCATTATGCTTAATACAGGCCAGATCACAACCAAAATCGTATAACTAATAACAAACCTAAACCTAGGAATCTTAATATTTCTACTATGCACCAACAAAACTAGTTAAATCAATCCCAAACGTCATTTCAAGCAACCAGTATTTCTTATTTCCCTTTACCCTCAAACACACATATGTCTCCTATAATATTCTCCTCTACGGGTTACAAGAGTGGTTTCATTCGTTAACTCATGCTTGGACATGCAACCTAAACGTAGACCAATAAAGCAGATGCTGATATGGGGCACCATGTGACTTGGATTTAAATGTCAAATAGAAAAACATATTTCTTTTACTCTAAGTTTAAGTTACTAAAAAAATACTGGTCTGTAACTACCACAATAATTTAAACTGGCAAAATCATATGTGAAAGTATATATTGTAATGGTCAACACTGTAGTTTCTACTGCCCCAAGCTGAATCTGAGGAAGTAGTGCTTATTCATGGAGAACAGTTTTAGCATTAGCTACTTCAGGAAATCATTTTTTTTTATCCTTTTTGTTTTAGATCAAAATTTTATATTTCTGTGCTGAAATAGCATCCTGATTTTCTTGTGTTACGTAAAGTTGAACAAAGCATCCAGGTTTATGATGTTTATGATAAGTACTACCAGCAATCAGCTAGTATAATTTCCACCAAACAATACTGTGTGTGCAATATAATTACCAACTATAGGCCAAGTATGCTAATTTGCGATCACAGTACACTTACATTTTAGCCGCACTGATGAAGATGCTCCCACCTGAACCTCCACCACCTAGAGAGCCACCCTCACCACCATCCGCTGTAATACTACCGTTAACCTCAATCACATCATTGACCACCAAGTAAACCCGTCCACCCCCTCCCCCTCCATAATCCCTCTCCGAGCTCGTCGAGCTGCCCTTGCTACCGTAGTTGTCAGGTTTCATCAGCGTGGACCAGGAATATGCATCCCCTCCCCAGGAGTCCTCCTGTGTCTGCCCCTCTTTCACCACGCAGCTAGCGCCTCTCCCACCATGCCCACCGCCATCCCCATTAGTCCCCGTGGGAACCCCACTGGTCTGGGGAGGCGGATCCCCCGCCAGCGCTACCGTATCAATCGCCGCACCCTCGGCGAGGCTCATGTTGCCCGCCTGCATGCGGACAGTCCCAGCCGCAATCTTGGCATTCCGCCCGATCCGGATCTCCCCCGTAAGATTGACGACGATGGAGCACCCGGCGACGGAACAACTGAGCACCACGTCGGGGTAGAGAACGAAGCTGCCGTGCGCCTTGGCAAAGAAGTCGCTGGACAGCTGCACACTGGTGTGGAGCTCGCAGAGGGTATTGAAGTCGCCGGTGCCGCCAAGGTCGCCCTCGCAGGAAGACGAAGGCGGGTCAGGGGGCGATGGCGGCGGGGCGGGCGGGGAGTAGTCGTGCCACAAGGATTCATAGCTCAGGATCGAGAACTGCTCACTGCGATACGGCCCGTCGTCGTCCGCCACCGTCGCATCAAGAGCGGACGCCAGCCGAGGGTTGTCGATATCAGGGAAGATGAGGAGGAGGAAGACAAGGACGACGACGAAAGACGCGGCGGCCATGGGCGGGGGAAGGGGAAACTCATGAGAACTGGGGAAACCCTAGGGCGTCGATCGGGCAGGAATTTGGGGAAGAAACGATCCCCAAACCCAGGGTTGGGTTGGATTGGATTGGGGGCTTCTCCACTCTTCTTGCTTTGCTTTGCCAAATTTGACGAGAGGACCGAAGAGAAGGCGATACGGGGATCGCTCGCATCAAGCAGATGCTGCTATTTACGGTCGCCCGAAAGGGATGCCGAACGGAGAAGAGGGAAAAACATGGGCGAGACACGAGTCGGCAGGCGAGAAAAGGAGAAGAGAAGGGCGGTGAGCGCACCGGTCATTTGTGCGGACAGACCGAACCCGCCTCGTGATTCGCAACCCGTTGATGAGATAATGTTGTTACGTGGCGAAACGTTGATGATGGAGCTCGCGTTCCCTGTTCGAAGACGGACAGCGTAAACCGAGTTTTGCGGGGTCTTTTTATAGAATTTCGGGTTGTTAATATCACTTAATTTGCTAAAAATAAAAGGATGAACTTTTGAAAGAAAAAAAAAACCCTTAATTATACAATTACTTTTAATGATCAAAATATATCTAAAAAATGTGCAATTTTTTAGTCCTAGATTATGAATTAATTTATCATGTTGATTCTAAATAATTAAGATTTATGGTTTTATTATTATTATTATAAATTATGAGTTAATCTGATTCGATTGACAAAGTTAAAAGCTGATCTTACGTAGGCTCCATCAAACAATTGACTAAGTAATAATTATATTATTATCAAAAAAATTTACCTAATCAAGACTTGCTAAATAATATTCAATTTTGATAATCTCATTGATCGACTCTATGTATCTTTTACCATCATAAATTTATAATAATTTATGTATCATATTTATATATTTCTTAAGTAGTATTTAGATTTTTATAATAAACATAAAATTGAGAGATTTATTTATATTTTTTAAATGATAAATGACGAATTTGTCAATAGTTTATTCATGGATTTGTACAAACTAAATTATAAATCACAAGTAATTCTGCTTTGAAAACTGTGTATTAACCATTTCTTACTATTATTTTTTGACATTTCCTTCACCGCTGCACAGTGCGGAAAAGGATCGGTTTGGGTTGGGTGTTCGGTGTTTGCACTTCCTTTGTCGCCATGGAAGGATTCAACGTTGGGCGTGCATTTGCACAGATTTGCTGCGATTAAGCATTGATTGGATCTTTCGGCAAAGTAGCTTTTGGGAGAAACAGACCATTTTGGATCTCATCCTCCGTCGTCACGAGGACTTCAACGTCGTCTGCATGCCTTTAACGTACTGTCGAGAGAGAGAGAGAGAGAGAGAGAGGAAAGGAGAGATGGGGATTAAAAGAAGGCATAGAGGACAAACGAAGAGCGAGTCAGAAGTGTGGAACACAAGTTAATGAGATAAAATTAGCGTGTGGTGAATTGACATCTTCGGCTTTACGAAGCTATTAGATTGGCTTTTCTTGAGAGAACAAAAAAGGTGACATGGAAAGTGCATTGCTTGTGTTGTTGCGAACTAACATGTTCTCGGCGTTTCAAAACACTTGCACATAAAAGGGTGTTTGTCTGTCTGTGGTTTCTTTGTAAGACAAGTATTGATTAGCATTGGTTTTGTTGTTATTATTATACTTTTGGGACGTTGTTCTAAACCATGTCGTCACAATCCTTCGGTGACTAATTCTTGCGCGTCAGAGTTCTCTTCCGTATTGTTAATCGCATCACATCAATTACGGCACTCGACATGCGATACACAGCACTATTCCAAGGAGGATAATATATAAAGGACACGTAACCGATGATCATCTTATTAAGTAGAGAAATCTAATTTGCGTGAAGAAAATATACGAATGAGGATAGATCTCTTTGCTTTAATCATGTAATTTGGTTAATGATTAAGCTTTACCACTGTTGTGAAATTGTACCATCAATCATTGGTCAAGCCGATTCGATCAGGACCCGAAAGTACAGGGACGTTGAAGAGAAACCATGGTGGCTTTGTACGACGTAATTCATCGGGCTCGAAGATGAGTGAAGTGACACCTAATTGGTCTTTCAGATAGAGTCCAAGCATCCGAGATATGCTCGATATTGGGCCAAGATGGATTCCATCACATTGGTGGATTCTTGTACAAAGGCCGGTGCAAATTAGCTTCGGAGAGATTTGGGAGCAAAAAGGTTAGTTTCCGAAAGACCATTGGACTAATACCGAGGTCAACTTTAATACTCGTGTGGAGAGAGAATCATCTAAAATAACTGTAAAACCTCTCCTTTTGCATTGTCATACAGGTTGATTGGCTAATAATGATTATAACGTCTCACCTCTAACAATTCGTCTTAGGAGACGAATAGCCCAACGACCATAACATTTTTCCTTTGACGTTTTGATTACGAGGGTTGATCAAATGAGGTAGACCCAATCGATTACCCGTAGATCGTTATCTACATAGGTTGATCGAATCGACCCAAATAGCCTCTTATCGATGGTTGCCCATGGGCCAATAGGCCTCGGCAACCTTCATGTTATTACCCTATGGAATGTGTCTGACCCTTCATCTTCCACATCGGTGCACAAGTGAGATAAGAACATAAAAGTCATGGGATCGTGCAAAATAATATTCATAATTTTTTCGATGGTGATCAATGCAATAAAAGTATTATTATTTTGCATTAAATTGATGCAACCTTAATTTTTTTGGATTTTTTCTTGACCTTTTCTTAAATCATATTTGTGAAATCTCCACCGGTGTTTTCCTCCATAATTAATGCTTCTAAAAAAACACAATAATATGTTAACACAAAAAAAGAGCATATAAAAGAATTTATTTGTTGTTGATTGTATATTACTTGTATCACAGTAATGCAACAACTTGAGCATATCAATAATGAATAGTCTCATTGATAGCATAAAGAAAACCTAGCACATTCCATGATCAAAGATACAACTATAAAGCTTATATATTAAGCTTTTGACATGAACAAGAACAAATCATCGACAAGACATTAAAACATGAAGACTTCAAACATCGCTAAACTATTATCCTTGTAGTTCCATGTGGAAAAGAGCAGCACAAAAGTATTAGAACAGGTCTACATGGATTGGATCATCTTTAGAGAATACCCGGCAGGGACTTGGTGGAGAGAGCGAAGGCGAATCTTAATCACTTGATATTTATAGGATTAGATACAAAATATTGTAAGATTATATAATCTTATTAAGATATATTATGAATATAATTAAATTTTAATTATGATCATTGATCAATAAAAATAAAAATTAATTGGGATTATTTATGAGATGATTTGATGGAAGGGACCCTCTTAATTATTTATCCTAAATCATTTACTCTCATCTATAAATAAACAAAACTTGGATTATATACACAATATGCAGGAGATGACTGAGAGATTACAATATTATAAATATTCTCTTTTATCTCTTCTTTATTTCTAAATTTATGGATTATCGTAGTCCAAGAAAAAAAAAAAAGGAGACAAGTCTAATTCTTGCATTAATATAGATATTAAATACGACAATGGTATACTTATAGATCAAATAAAAGGTTTTTGAGCAACATCAAAATATAAGCATCATAAATTCAGATATATTATTATTTGATTTTAGATTTAAATATTAAAATCTTTCGTATAATAAAAATATATTATAGTTTTTATGCTAACAAATATAATTTAAAAGCTTCATGTGATCGTTCAATTCTTTGCGTGCTTTGTTATTATGGAATATTCTTAATACTCTCTCAATATTTCATCTCACCAACAAATGTTTTCTTAACATGTTCCCTCCAAAATATATAATTTTGCTCACTTGCTTCGTTTTCAGAAAATTTATTCATTGGTTCCATCTTAATTTTTTATCAACCTTAGTTTTAATACCATGTTGATAATTAAATTACAAGAGTACGTGTTTTTTTTATCTTCACGGAAGTTATTAAAATGTATTATTAATATTTTGTTATTCTTGATTTTAGTAATTGAATTAGACGAGTCCAAATCGAAATGATCAAGATTAACATATCTAGAAAACATGAGCTTTTTTTATCCAAATTAATCTATATAATTCAACCCTATCAATCATTAGTACAAATATGGACTGTTCTTGTTTATCTAATATCTTTTATTTAATTTTCTAGCATCATTTTCTATTCATAGAAGAAAAATTGACAATATCCCTCTTATCCATAAGTTTATTTGTCTTCACTCCGGTCAAATTATAATTAACTTGGGTCATGGATCAAGACTAATATAAATGATATTATATATTAATGTAATTGAAAAACTTATATCACCTATCTTTAGAGACATAAAATTATTCTTAATCCTCTCTAGAATTTTTATCTTACATATAATTATTATTATTATAAGATTTGTGTTAATGAAGAAGATGGTAGAGTCGGAATGATTTAGATCTAAGGGGGATGAATGCTATGGTAGAGACATTGATCCAATGCTAAAGGTTAGTGATGACAAAGTTGATACTGATGATAACCAATACGATAAAGTTTATAATTAATAATGCTGACGATAATAATATAGTGATGATCATACTATTTATTGTCATATTGTTAATCACCGATGATGATACTAATAATAGTTTTCGATTAAGATAAAACATATATAGTAATAACGATAACAATGAAGTTAGCGATGAGACGATAGCAATTGTTAATGATGAATGTTAGCGATGACAATGATGGTATATATTGATGATATCGATGCTAAATAATCATGATGATAACAACAATAATATCATTATAAAATGATGAGAACGATAGTATCGATTTATGAAGATTAATTATGTAGGTTTTTCTTTTTATAAGAACAACATGGTAAACTTCGAAAGGTATGGATATGAATATTAAGATGAAATCTTTAAAAAATTATTATTTATTTATAATAATTCAGGATCAAATTGAATATTTTTAATAGTACTGCATCACCAACTTGACATGTGGTTTGTATGTATTATGTGAAACATGGGGACGTGGGCACACATGATCCACTCATTTTTGGTAACTAACAAAGTTGTACTCTGAAGATACGTACGCCTCGCCCTACCTATCATTTGGAAGCATCAGTGACCGTACTCCATGGGCCCGCATCACTTGTACCATCATCAAGTGTAGTAGACAAGTGGGATAGGTCGTCTTGGGGTAGAAAGCATATGGTATCAAATGTATTAATAAAATATAATAGAAGGTACTCTTAAATCGATTGTATCTTTAAATAATTAGCACATCATAAATCACACGAGTTATTTCGTCAAAATTATTATTATTATTATTCAAATAAAACGAAGAAAATGAATAAATAATTATAGTGTCAATATATGACGACATAATAACGTATAAATTATAGAATAAGTCATCATGAATTTTGTCGAAAATATTTTTAATCTTTTTTATTACATCATATAATTTGGTAAGATGAGCGGCAACTGTACAGTTAGGATAATAATGGCTTGTGTACGCAGCGTTGCGGCAGTCTTGCGTCAAGGTCTCGGCGTTGGTAGGTGACGGATAAGGTGGTGAGCCCAGCGCGCGAGAGTGGGAACATGGAGGCGATCATTAGGGTGCCATACGAGGCGGCGGTCCGGGCGGCGCTGGCGGCCCTGGAGCGGAACCTCCTGCCGGACGCGGTGGTCCGGAGGCTGACGCGACTGCTCCTCGCCGGCCGCCTCCGTCTCTGCTATCTCCCCTCGTCCGACCTCCAGCTCGCCCAACTCCTCCGGTTCAAGCAATGTAAGGCTTGGCCGGCCCCCATAAACTCTCTCTTTTACTACAAAAGAAAAAAACTCGACTGTCCTCTCACGAGCGGTCATGTTTTGCCTTCAAAAATCTTCCATTTTGTTATAAATTCGCAATAAAGGGCCGTCCGCCGTGGCCAAAAATCCCATATGACATTTCTGTGGAATAAGACAGTGAATCCGTGTTAGAGCTTTATCGCGTAATCGTTGAGAGCTTGCGAATTCTTTGTAATTTATATTGTGAAATGTCAGCTTATAGAATTCCGAGTTAAACGTTTTCTCTAACTTATCTTCTCTTTTGTAGATCCACATAACTTAAATAAATCCAACTAAGTCCAGTATAAATCCATTAATAACGAGTGAGTCAAACTAGTTAGGATTTACAAACACCAATTCAATCCAAAAACTTAAGCTGATAGATTATGGGTTGGGAATTCGTTAGAGGAATGTTTCCAATAAAAATGGTTTGTTCTTGCATATCTCTATCGATTTTCCAAATTAATCCCACGGGTTGATATAATTCAGAAGAATATGTGAGTGATTCAGACACAACATCTCTTTAGGTACATATAGTCAAGAAGAATATGCGAGTGATTCATACACAACATCTCTATCGCTTATCAATGGTTCTACCAATTGATATCTTTCAACAAATAATTTAAATTTAATTTCTTGATATGTATCTTCAATCTTTGGAAACTTGTGAAATTCTTTCATCAAGCCCTCATTAATAAACCTATTCTCTTAGTCATCTTTTTTCAATCTATCATCACACACTAATATCTTCTAACATTCTCTCCCTATCCAGTGAATGATAAATTTGTGTCCTTAATTGGATGGTTGAATGGAGAATTCTGAAGAATTACCTGTTTCAACATCAAATATGATGTTTTTGAAGTACTTCATTGCCATTTAACTAGCATGAATTAGATGCTTCTTTTTGAATGCCAAATCCAAATTTCAGGGAGTTCAAACAGAGACTCACTCTGCTTATTACATTCATGAATTTACAGAAGGTTGCATGACAAACTGGAGTATTCATTGATTAGGTCAAAGTGATGGTTTTGGTCCTTTCTGTTAGCATACCATGTTATTAGGTTTACTTATGCCAAAGTGTCCTGCAACTAAATAAGGATTTATACTGGATAGTGTAGACTCATAAAACAGGACTGTCTTCAGCTAGATTAGGTAAAATCTTTTAATAGCATGTATAAGTCAAATGTGAAGTGCAAGAACTTCAATAAAAAGTAGAAGAAAATCACATTTTTAGGTACTGTTGCAGTATTGGTGTTCCATCTGTGTCCCAGTGTTTCTCTACGTAGGCTGTAAGCACATTGTCTTAATCCAGTTTCCTTATATGTTCATCTAGCTATAGTTTTACTGAATCAACTGTTCTCAATAACCTCTGTGATATATATGCTACCTCTCTTTTGCTATAACTGTTTCACTGCCTTGTAACCTTTAATCACCACATAAAATGGAGTCGCACAATTTTCCTGCTGGTAAATCCATCTTTCTATTCAGTTTTCTCCTAGTCTATCCCCCATAGATCGTCTGATGTTCCTGCAATTTTAAATGGTCTTTCAACTTGAAGGCAAACCTTTATATTTCTTCTACATCCTGAATTTTAGGCTGTCTTTTCTTTTAAGTACATTCAAATTAGTCCTTGGTTATAGTTCCTAATTAGCTTCTCCAAGCCATTACCTTACACCTGAGGCAAGTCCTATACTGATACTTATTCTCCTAGCATAGTTGGAGTGTATTTATCATATATCCAGATCTCTTTGTGCAATATTTCTGTTTCCCTCAAGACATCGTATTCCTTTGAAGTTGTACCTTTTACTATATTAATTTTACATTCATGAATTTTCATTATATTTGACTAAAATTTTGATGGCCCATTGCACAAGGCTCTTGCAAATGAAGGCTTTAGGAAGGGACAACTTATATGACATTACACCTGCAAGACAAGACATTATTTTTGCAACTCAAATCCAGGTCTACCAAGTTGCGAAAAAGCAATCTTACCATTGTGGCAAAGATTGCTCTACAATTTTTGACTATTATTTGTTTTCTATAATTGATTTGTTGCTTCTAAATTTTACCTGAACTACCCATGTTTTCGTTGATCACCTTTTTTTTTTTTAGCTTGAGAGATTTATAGCCCGGTTGTGATGCTCTGATTTGCTATTGCTTTAACAGCACTTGAAGATATGCCTATAGCTGTGGAAACTGATAAAGCAAAATCTCAGCATTATGAGTTACCTACCTCATTTTTCAAGTTGGTGCTTGGAGAGAACCTAAAGTACAGGTTAATGGTGTCTCCAATTTATAGCTTTTGTATTTACATTTGGTTGTTCATTTTTCTTTATGGCACTGTCTGGTCTTTTTATTTTGGTGAATTTTCCAATCCCTTCAGCTGTTGTTACTTCAAGAACATAACAAGCACGCTGGAAGATGCTGAGAATGCAATGTTAGAGTTGTATAGTGAAAGAGCTCAGCTGAAAGATGGCCAAAAAATTCTGGATGTAGGATGTGGCTGGGGGTCCTTTGTTATATACATCGCAAAAAAATACAAAAATTGTAGCATTACAGGAATATGCAACTCATCAACCCAAAAAACTCACATAGAGGAGCAGTGCAGGTACATTGTTTTTTTGTCCTTTTGGTTTGTGCTCATGCAACCTGAAAGAATTGTGCTTTCAGTTTGCTAGCTTCTTAATGCTTTAATCAAACATGAAAAACATCATGTTGATTGATTTTATATGTGCACATCAAAATTTAAGTAGGATTTTTTTTTATTGTGATTAAGCTTTTAACTAATCATCATTGATATAAGTATTTGCATTTTTATTGTTGTTCAAAAGATGCAATTTCACAGGGAGTCATAATTCTTAGCATAAATCTTAGTAATTTGATGTAGGCTCTATTGATATTTTACTGCAACCCTTTTTTTCGTTTCTTTGGTGTACTAATTCCATTCCATGTTATACATGGTCACGCTCAGGCCACTTTCGTGGGTTTCCCATCCTGCCTTTTGGTGCTTGTTTACTGGTAACTTCGATTGGCTAGATATTGTCATGGCGTTCTAATCTCTGTATGACCATCATTATATCTGGATATCTATTTCCTTGCATTTGTACATATTGTGTCACTGTCCTTAGTGTTGTCTTCTTGAAAATTTTTTGGTGTGGTGCAGAACACAGAATACGTTAGGACACACCAAACTCTACTTGATCTTCTCTCTTCAACCAATTCTGAAATGGTAAATAGGACAAAGGATGCAAGGATGAAAAATATCAAGCTATTGATTGTTCCTCGTATGATTGCTGTTAACATTATTAATATTCTAACTTAAGACAAATTTCAAACAAGTTATTATAACTCATTGAATCTTGGTTCTTCATGACAAAACTTTGCTCTTCAGACAAGCTAATGGCATCTTGACTGTATACAATAATGAAACTGCATTGTCTTGATTACCCTGTTTAATTGGTAATTGTGACTCGAGAATGTCCAACTACTTATAGGCACCTTCAGTTATCCAATGTAGAGATAATTGTTGCAGATATCACCAAATTTGAGATGGAGGCTTCTTTTGATCGAGTTGTATCTATAGAGATGTTTGAGGTAATTTAAGATATTATATCCCACTTTTCGAAGCTGATAAACTTTTGGATTAAAAATTACTCTCTTTCCACAGCACATGAAGAACTACAAGATGCTCCTTAAGAAGATATCGATATGGATGAAGCAAGATAGTTTGCTATTCATTCATCACTTCTGTCATAAAACATTTGCTTACCACTTTGAGGTATTCTTTGCTCTTGCTTGTACAGTGTTGGATGTGCTACTTGGTGACTTATTGGTGTTTTGAACATATTAATCACACACTGTGTTCATCTGTGAGGATTTACCAAATAGTGTACTCTACTTACATATCAATTTCATGGACATATTTAATCCGTGTATTCTAATGTTTGTAACTTCCTTTCTTTTTATCGGACCAAATAATTACCTACTTTTTTTGTTTATAGTAAATACTATTCCGCATCTTAGTGGTTGCTAACATTAATGATTTAAGAGTTCTGTAACAGCCTTGTGTCGATCGAACTTTATGACGTTGTTCTTCTTTGTGGAAACACATACTGACTGTTCCTCTCATTCAGGACAAAAATGAAGATGATTGGATTACAAGATACTTCTTCACTGGAGGGACTATGCCTTCTGCTAACCTGCTTCTCTATTTTCAGGTTAATTACTTTTCTTGCTAGAGGTTAATCCGGATATTCTTATCCAATATGCTCTGTTCTTAAAGATTAAGAAAAGTGTATCTGATATAACTTCTTTTATTGTATAATTAAGCAAAATAATATTATACTATAATTTAATTAATCACTTCCTACTGGGAGACGAGTATGTATTACTACCCCCACAAGTCCACTTTAAATATAATGTGCAGTTTTTCGGTCGATGTACCAGGTCAATAAAACATCCAACAGGTACTCTATGGTTATTAACTATATGGATGGAATTGATGATTGGCTGGTTGGTATTAGCTATGTCAGAGTTAAAGGACATTACTAAATTCTAATTTTGTAGGATGATGTTGCTGTCCTTAATCATTGGCTCCTCAACGGAACACATTACGCAAGAACAAGGTATATTAAAGCTTAAATCTTTGACAAAATTTTGAAACCAAGTCTTTTCATGATTTATGCATTGGCATCCATCAAAACATGTGATTTGGAAGAAGATCCTTATTAAGTAAAAGTATTGTGAGATCATAATCCTATGAGCAAAGGTATTAGATTATAATTGACTGCAATTATGATGGTGTAACTTGGATTTATGGTCCAGTTTGACTTGCCTTTCTTATTGAATTTTGTGTACATGATTATTATTGTCATGTGTGCTTAGTGAGAGTCTGAGTTACTCTTCTTTTAATTTTCTATGGTCAGGTTCATGCCCTTCAACATTTCTATATTTGCTATATCTGATTCATGCATCTAGTTTCCTAATACTCCCAACAGTGTCTCTTAGAAAATTTATAATTTGATTAATGTTAAATCATATAAAGGTAATTTGTAGTATCAATGTATATAGAATACAAGTTGCATTAGTTTTCTTTCTTGGTTGATGAAAATCGTGACGAGTGCATTGCTCTCCTTGTATTCATCTCCTTGTCATGTGTTATGATAAGATCTGCTCCATAACCTTAGAGACTTGCAGGATCCTATAAGGCATTAGATAGCATGTGAAGCTTTTCCAGTTAATATTTTAATGATTTCCAAATGTTTTAAGATAATTAAGGCATTAAGTTGTAACATGTTTGTAGTGAAAAATATCTTTTGCAGTGAAGAGTGGCTCAAAAGAATGGATAGCAACTTGACTTCCATAAGACCAACTTTTGAGGCTACTTACGGCAAGGATTCAGCTACCAAGTGGATTGCATATTGGAGAACATTCTTCATATCAGTTGCTGAGCTCTTTGGATACAACAATGGAGATGAGTGGATGGTTGCACTTTTCCTATTTAAGAAGAAATGAGTGGTATGTGCATTTTGGATATGATCATCTGTGAGAATGCATAGATGAAACATTCAATAAGCTAGTGTTACTCGTAATAGTTTGTACTTTATAGTAAGGTTTTATATCTCGGTTCGATCTTGATTCCGATACCCGGATCATTCGTATCGATCTTTTATTGAATTGACAAATAAGGGTCAACCGATATTGGAAATCATGTTGTACAAGTATTTAAACCCTATTCATTTAGTAGATCTGTTTGTTTCGAAATCTCATATTAGTAAATAACTCAAATGGATACAATTTCATCTAAATAGTTCATGAATTTGAATCATTCAAATCTCCTCCTGCTTGTGTTTGTATTTTAGGCATAAATATACTTCCTAACGCAGCGATGGGGCCCTTCATGATGGATTTTCTCAGGCATGGACTCAAATATAACCACATACTTGTATTGAGTTTTTATGCTGATATTTACGTTGTACTGACACGTTACAATCTTTTGATCCTATTGGCTGTTACCAATCAATCTGTATCGGGATTGCTATCGACATCACCCTCGGCGAGTCGCGAGGCGGCTTTCGTGAAACACGTGGAACGAGACACAAAAGAGAGCGTCGTTTAAGTCGCGAGTTTAGCTCCGTCAACCGCCATCGACTTCAACTCTTCTAAGGAGGCGCTGCTCTGTTACGCGACATAATTCGCGCCGGGTAACGTGGCGCGCGCACACCGGGGTTTTCTCCCCGTGTTCGGGCGACTCGCGCAGTAGGCTGTGCTCTCTGAGTCACGATACCGAGTCCAGTACTTGGGCTGGGCTGGTCGAGGGAGTCAATCTATCTTGGGATTGGATGACGACGGTAGCCCCACCTCGGACCCACCAGTGGGACCGGGGTTGCCTTCTCTGATCAGAGATGGGGAAGCCGAGAATGGGTTGTCGACGCTGATCCGCGAAAAATCGCATGGGGCGAGTTCTACATCGCTGGCCCACACGTAGGACGATTCCTATTGGTGGGGAAAGTATGGCCTGGTCCTCGAGCAGGGCTCCACCCTTATTCCCACATGATCAATCCTAGCCCGTTAATCTCGTGATTAACGATCAGGATCAGACCAGCCAAACTTTTCGCCCGTCTTTTCCTTCCCTAAAATATCCGGAAAGGAAGAAAAATACCCCATGTTGGGTCCCACGTTGCCTGTCCAACCAGCACATGGGTAGGGCGAATGCTTAGACTCAAGCGGCAGCGGTAAAAGAAAGGTACTGTGGGCCCTACAATCAATTTGGGATTTCTTTTATCCTGGCTTATTTGTTTGTTTTTGAGCCCATTGTTTTTTTCTTGATTTGTTCTATATAAAAAATTATAAATAAATATATGTATATGCACATACATTGTAAATATATGCCTACAAAATAATATATATATATATATATATGACAATTTGTGACAAATTTATTGTAAAGTGTAATTCAATAATAATTTGCCATCACTCACCAATGACATTTAGATAGTTGATTACGGCATACACTCTTCTCCTTATAGGATTGGACCTGTTGTCCGCTTCATCACAGATCAAGAGGCGATCAAGAAGAGCATAAACATCATTAAGGCAGAATATAAATCATAAAACGATAAAAGAATATTAGGTGCAAAATAATTTATTTCGTTATAAATACTATATTTAAGTTGCTGCAATAAGAAAACTCTGCTAAATAGGCACTTCAGTAATCTCAAATAACGACGTCGTAAAGACATCCAACTCATACTACCGACGAGATTGTTATTAATAATAATTATTATTATTCGAAGTCGCTAATTAAAAACAGCTGGATTCGATGCCCACCTTCTTCCTTTCCACCCAATAATAATCAATATACAACTATATCAAACCCCTAATTATGCGAAAAGAAAAGCATCGGACAAACACAGCAAACAGCCACTCGGCAACTAATCATTCGCCGACGTTGCTGATTCCGAGGCGAATCGGTAAACGCTGTGTGGTTCCAGGGCAGCACATCGGGAGTGGTCCAGGCAAGGCGGTCCGGGAGCCGTCGGATCCCAATCGTCGGGTTGGTGCCTCCTGATCGCCCCATGGACGTGAGCTGGAGACACGATGCTCCGCCCACCTAAACCAGGGTGGGGGAATCGTGGCCGTCGGATCGTAGATCCACGGCGAGGAGGCGGCGCCGAAGAGGGTCCGCGCTGGTGTGATCTGACCTCGTCGTGGACACATCTAATGTGAAGGATTCCCCATATTAAAAGAGAAGACGAGGCGACAACTTTGTAGGTTCGTCCGCACTCTCGTCATAGTGAGACACAGTTTTGATCGTTTGATGCTTGGTCGGGGTTTTTTGTTGCTTCTAGATTTGGGGTGATCGGAATCTGACGGTGGATAGCTCGTCCGCATCGTGCTGCGGGAAGATCGAAAGCGGTGCTGGTTTTTTTTTTCCCGAAGAATTATATATTTATACAATAAATAAGAAGGAGAAGGCAGAGAGAGAGAGAGAGAGAGAGAGAGAGAGAGAGCTCAGAAGAGGGGGGAGAGAGAGAGAGGGTCGGAAGGGAGAGAGAGATGGAGATGGAGAAAGAGGGGAGGGAGAACGTAGGGGAGGCGGCGACGGCGGCGGGGGGGCTGGCGGCGGTGGCGGAGGAGGTGGAGGAGGAAGAAGAGGCGGTGGGGTCGAGCTTGACGATGGAGCGGGTGGCCGCCGCGAAGAAGTTCATCGAGAACCACTATAGAAACCAGATGAAGAACATCCAGGAGCGGAAAGAACGGTTAGTCCTCGCCCTCCTTTCGCCCGATTGTCTTCTAGGAAATTTCCCCCTCGATCTCGAACAGCTTGATCTTAGCTTTCTCGGGTCTGTGTTTCGCTGGATTTCTTACGACTCATTCTGTTACTGCTTTGCGGGATCGTTTATTCATTAATTCGTGAAGAGACGGGCAAATTTAGTTCCTGGCCTGTATTTTCCGAGATGCGTTTAGTTATTGTCCAGTTCGTGAAACACAGCATAATGTGCTAAGCACGGATTGGAGAATTCGTTGCTTGGGCCACCCCCTAATTTGAGTGCCGCAGTTGGAAACGTTCAGCCGGTGCCATATTCAATGCCAGAGCTACTCTTCGGCTAAGTCGACGTCTTTAGAGTTTTAATTAATAGATTTGCCGGATTTTGGTATGCCATTACAGTAATTTGAGTGGTAAACCGTGGTAATTGTTTGATTAGAAGTAACGTGATATAGTTACTAGTGCCGTGACTTCAGCCTGCATAGCATTGTTGTGTACTGCTGATGCAGTTCACAGTTTCCAATTTGGTGCACCCATGAATTCTTCAACATTAATGTAGCACTTGTGGTGTTCCAGATAGTTTACAATTAAACAATTGCCACAAAGGTTTGGTTCCCACTTTTCAGCCATGTTGCAAATAGTCTGTAAATTTCTTATTATATTCCCTTATCCTTGTCAACATAAAAATATCATAAAAGAAGTGAGTTTGCTTTAGGAATACTTACTTGCATGTGTTTGTTTTAGTAGTTCTGTAAATCGGCTACTTTTTACCAAATATATGTAAGTTTTGCATCATCAAATTCTATGACAATCCAGATTTCCAACAGATCATGAGTCCGGGTTGTGCAAGCAGATCCACTTAATTTGTAAAGTTGAAACTTCCCATGGTGTTTAAAAGGGGAAACCAACCTTTTCTTTTGTTTTTTTTTCCAAAAAATGGGATGAGTACATAACCTAAATGAGTTTAAGAGGCAGCGAGCTGATCAATATTGCTCTTTTTATGTTTGCTAATGAGAAGTGTCATTCATGTTACTTACTTGTTTGTATAGGTTAATAAAACTGTTAATACGTTCAGTCTAGCCTTTTCATAACCTGCATTGCAGGATACATTCGATATGGTTGCATTCTAAAAGTTCAGTGAATATAGGTATTGGCAAGAGGACACTTTCTATTTTTTTTACCGATGGACAAAGTTCTAATCCCCAAGGACTAGCCTTTCTCTTCTTTTTGATTGCTTCTTCATCGGAGTTCTTTTTGTTTTTGAATGTAGATCATATAAAATTGACCCACCAGCTTTTTAAAATTTCCCTTCTCAAACAAATAAACTTTGGTCTGTCGCTTTATTTTATCTCCTTTGATAGAAAGTTCAAGTGGTCTATCATTAGCTTCCACGAGAAAGTTTGTGCCTTAACTGTTTAGGTAGGATTTGTAATTCAGGGGTAGAGACTTTTTCTTTTCTTTTTTCTTTTCTATTGAGTGTTAATTGACACATGAATTTGTTTTGCATCCAATTCTTTTACTGTTTGTCTACACTCATAATTTGGCAAAATGGTAGAAGTTCATATATTTTGATGGCTGATGATATTTAAGTTGAAATGCAGACGTTGGTTCTTGGAGAGACAATTGGCTTCTTCACAAGTTTCCAAGGAGGAGCAACTCTGTTTATTAAAGGATCTTGAGAGGAAGGAGACAGAGTATATGAGACTTAAAAGGCACAAGATCTGTGTTGATGATTTTGAGCTGCTGACCATAATCGGGAGAGGAGCTTTTGGGGAGGTCTGAGCTTGCATGTTTTTTCATTAGAAGAATAAAACTCTTTCTTTTACTTTTATTTTTGGCCAAAACAAGCAAATTTGCAGCCTTTTGATGTGGACATTAGATCTCTCCAAATGCATATAATTAAAGTAACTGTAGAGACACTAATAACTAACTGCTAGTCTTGGCTTTCTTTTGGTTTTCTTTTAGATATTTGTTAAAGTGTCATTCTGAAAATATAAAGGAAGCTTCTGGTAAACGGATGTAAAATACTGATAAAACTTTGTGAATGCTTTTAGATATTTGTGCTAATTTCATGGACATACTGTACAATCTCCCAGTCTTATCAGTTAGATTATTGTAATGCAACAGATATAATGTGCCTGAACTTATTGTTTCATATCGGTAATTATGAAAGACCTTACTTACAAAGACATAACACCATACCCACATATTGACTTAATTCTGTAGCCACGGATCCATTGACTGGTTTAACCTTCTTTTTGCTGCTCAAGGTCTCGTGCTTCGTATTCTTAGTTTCAATTCTTGATTAGGTTTACCAGGTATATCTCATATGGCTGACTACAATATGTCTCAGTCTTTAGGATGAATTCATGAGTTCTGTACATAATTTTATGGTTTTTTTTGTGTTTATATGATCTTTCATTAATCTGACAACTGGCTGTGACAAACATTTCATAAATTTCCCATCACATTACTTAGTTAGATCAAATTTGGAATTTAATAGATGGATCCCATAGTGTTTGGCCATAGTATGTCAAGTTCTGGTATCTGAGTTTTCTCGGGTCATCACTATGGAGGACCTTTTGTCCTTTGAGGCATTTATCATTTAGCCTTCAAATATTACTCAATCATTTGGGCTAGCTTGTTGCTATTTTATTTCTTTGTGTTCCATGATTAATTATAGATGTCAACTGACATGCTTCAAGTTTGACATTCCCTCTGTCATCTATTTTTATAATCATTGCTCTAGCACCATGAAAGACAGCACCTATTTGAGGAAATGCATTAGAAATTATGATGTTTGATTTATGCAAATTAGGTCAAAGAGCTTAGCACAAATTGCAGAATCACATACAACCTGCCAAATGAACATGCTACTTTATATTGCTTACATTTGGATTCTTATCAATTTACTAACTACAGGTCAGACTTTGTCGGGAGAAGTCCTCTGGGAATATTTATGCCATGAAAAAACTGAAGAAATCTGAAATGGTTAGCAGGGGTCAGGTAATTAATGCATGTCAGTTATTTGTAGTATGTGTAACAAATTTTTTGATGTGTTTCCTCTTTAAATGTCATAGGATCCTTGAGTTTATGGAAGTTTAATGATTTCAACCTTTTCATCTATGTTGTACTTAGGTCTTAGTGTTCTACTTTACGTCCATGGGAATTTGTCTTAGCCTTCCAAATGCCTGTAATAAATTTGACAACCTTTTATTATTGCTTGTTCTAACCTTCTGAATGCCTTGAATAATTTTTGATTCATCACAGTTTATTAAGTTTCATAGTATATATCTCTTTTTTTGTACTTGTAACCTTCTGAATGTCTTTGTAACTAGTTTCGATATCCTTACAGAGTGAAACTTGTAATATTTTCCATCTAAGATATGCGTGGCCAAGGTTACCTGAAGTTTTGGCAAAACATATTCAGATGAAACATTGTGTCTATAGATTTGTAAGTGCTTGGAGTCAAGGGACATTTTGAGTATAGAAATAGTTTTTCATGTAAAGAATCTGTTATGAGTTTGTATTTGTAAACTTTTGATCATGAAGTAAAAGTAAATGTCTAAAGGTTGTTTGGGTGCTGTCCATAATCGCTGTCAAACTTTTTCTACTATGTGTTCTATATTTATCTTCGTAGTTGTCTCTTTTTTGTTAAACTCTACCATTCATATCTTTATGCGCATTGCTCCACTGTTTAAGATTATTATAGCATCAGATTACTTTTCTTGTGATGTAACTTTTTCATTGTATACAAACAGTAACTAGAGGTTTATGTAATAGTAACTGGCACTGTTTGTTGTCATGCTATAACATTTTGCCTCCCATTTGGATAGATTCATTTATTGTACTTATGATTCATCATATTTTCTTTTAGGTGGAGCATGTAAGAGCTGAAAGAAACTTGCTTGCTGAAGTTGCTAGCCACTGCATTGTGAAACTCTACTACTCATTTCAAGATGCTGAATACCTTTACCTAATTATGGAATATCTTCCTGGAGGGGACATGATGACCCTGCTTATCAGAGAGGATACCTTAACTGAAAGCGTGGCTAGATTTTACATTGCTCAGAGTGTGTTGGCCATAGAATCCATTCATAAACACAATTATATTCACAGGTCACACATCATAGATTTCATCTGATCAGATGATTGTTGTGGTCATCATCTTGCTGTATATTATCGATATGATGTATGCATATATATTGTTTGCAGGGACATAAAACCTGACAATCTTCTTTTGGACAAAAACGGTCACATGAAGTTGTCAGACTTTGGCTTGTGTAAGCCAATTGATTGTTCAAAGCTTTCAACATTGAACGAAGATGAACCCATGAGTGATGAAAATCTTAGGGAGTCGATGGATATTGATGGAATTCCGGATACAAAAAATGCTAGAAGGTGGAAAAGCCCCCATGAACAACTGCAGCACTGGCAGATGAATCGTAGGACGCTGGTACATCTTCTAAAATGCTTGATCTCTATCCTGAAAGAATGTTTGTGCCGTGACTGTTCTGTCCATTTTAGTTTACTGCTTGTAGTATTTATATCCAAGGCATATAACTATGATAAGATCGACCTCTCTTTTTAGGCATTTTCCACAGTTGGAACACCAGATTATATTGCTCCAGAAGTGTTACTGAAGAAAGGATATGGCATGGAGTGTGATTGGTATGATAATGCTAAAATTAAAACCCACCTAAACCATGTTCTGATGGTTCTGTTTAGGAATGTTGATTTATATCTTTCAACTGTAAATGAAATTAGAATCTTTTGTTGCAAACGTTTATCAACTAATCTAAACTATTAAGATCTGTGTCAACTTTCTATTTCTGCATTCTTATGTTGATGAAATACATTACATGGTGGTGAAAAAGGTTCATTGGCATTTACTTGTGGAAATATTGCAGGTGGTCTTTGGGTGCAATAATGTATGAGATGCTTGTTGGTTATCCACCATTCTATTCCGATGATCCAATAACTACATGTCGTAAGGTTAATCTGCTAAATCTCAGAGCTTTATAGACCAGTCATTTATAAAGACTTTCCTTTTTTATGAAACTTCTCGGTGTGCTTGCAGTTTCTTAGGATGTTATAAGTTTGCAAAGGCTACCACAAAGACTTGAATAGCATGTCACTATTGATCCTTTTTGATACTCAGACTATGTCTAGGTGTCATTCATAACTTGTGAAATATCGTTCTATCAAATTTTCAACAATTGCATTCTTACATATTCCATCTGCTGGCTGATGTTGGTCATTCTCTATTCTATGTTCATGCTTTTACACAGAACAACCCCTTTCTACATTCTCATAACTTTTTTTTTTTCTCCTTTTTATCTCAAGCTCCACTTTTATATCATTTAGTGGTGCAGATTCTTCTTTGAGCACTTTCATGAGCTAAAAGAAAAAAACACATACTTGTTATATAACATCTGATACATACTGACTTTATTTATTTCACTCACTGTGCATTTTACACTTATTTTGCTTTGTCATAGTGCATAATAAATCACATTGTTCATATCTAAGAGTGTCATTTTACTGAAGATATTTCCTAGGTTGTTTCTGTTAACTCCATATTCTCATATCTTCAAGTTTTCAGATATTAAAATATGCACCTATTTTCATTTGATTAACTGTACTACCAACAAATCATATTACAGTTACAGTATCCTTTATCTTGAAAAGACATGGACAAGTATCCATTCACGACAAATTATAAAGAAAATCATATTCAGTCTCTCTAAGCTGACTTGGAGACCTACTACAACAAAGTATTTACTATTCAAACAACAAGTTAAATAACCATATTCTTTTGTTATGAGAGATAATGGGAGAAGGCAGGAGGTTGCAAGATAGGGTACCATAAGAGAGGTTTAAGGTTAAATCTGATCAAATTTGTGGCTGATCTAATATAAGACACTAAAGCTTGATGGCCAGCTAAGAGAATAATACCAGTTTATTTCTTTTCTGGAAGATGACCTCGGACAATTTAGCTGCAAATGGGAAGGAAGTTAAAAAGAATGGGGAATGTTCTTTGAGAAGAAAGATCAACGAGAAAAGAGTGAAATACCTGGCCATCATCAACCAAAACAAGTTACTCATCCATAAATCAGATCCGTGACAATCAGTTGTATGACCCTTATAGGAATTAAACCCTATTCTTGATTAAACTAGGCTTCTAATGTCAATTATCTCTTGGACAACCTTTCTAAGAAGTTGAATCCAACAAAATTTCAGATAGACAGACCTCCAGAAATCTGTGACCTCAAATTCCTGAAGTAGGAATCGTTAGCGCCACAACTTCTCAAAAAAAGTCTAAAAATTGAAGAGCAACATTGAATAATGAGTGAAAAATAATGATAGCCCACCTGGAAATTATAGAGAATTAGAAAAAACAGCCTATGTTTGATATTATTCGAGTCTCAAATTAGCTTGAAGTCCTGAGCTAGACCTAATCTGAACCGCTCTTGCACCAGTTAGACTTACTGCACAGAAATTATTTAGTTGTAAGTATATTGTGTTGCAATTCGACTATCAAGAAAATAGAACATTTAAAAATTGTATTCAGGTACTTACTTTGACTTAATGTGGACCATTATATCTCATTTAGGAGGAAAAAGCATTTTTTTAAAGAATAAATTTGGCAAGAGGAAACATTACATGGTTATGGTGGGATGAAGAATGGAGAATGTGGATAACTAAGAACTGAGTCCATACTTGGTAGGTTCAGGAAACATTTTGAATTGTTAACATTTTCAAATTACTCTCCGAGAACTGGGGAGGAATGCTTATGAATCAACACATTAACACGTGTCGAACATGGTGGAAGCCTTCCATGCTTATTATAAAGATTTAGCCCCATGAGGGTGAAGGCTGTGGAAGGCATAGAACCTGGTAAGTAATTAATTATATAAATGTGGTTTAGTATGCTAAACCATAATATATTAAGTTTTAACTGTAACATCCCTGATTAGTCCCACATCGAAAGTGGGCAAGATTAAGATTGGTTTAAAAGGATCTGATGAGTGTACTATTATCAACTTCAGCTTAAGCATTTTGGTCAGTGGTTTAGACCAAACGAAGTTGATAGGCTAGTTAGCCCATCAGGCTCGGGTCGTGACATTTGGTATCATAGCCGACCTAGCATTTGGGCATGGTGAGGGGGCTCGAGTAGGGACTCGTCACGGTGTGGAGCCACCACTGGGCTACGTCTCACATGCATTATGCTAGGGCTTGATTTGGGTTATGTTGAGCCTTGACGAGGACGTCAAGCCTTTGAGTGGGGGTGATTGTAACACCCCTGATTAGTCTCACATCGAAAGTGGGCAAGATTAAGATTGGCTTATAAGGGTCTGATGAGTGTACTATTATCAATTTCAGCTTAAACATTTTGGTCAGTGGTTTAGACCAAACGAAGTTGATAGGTTAGTTAGCCCATCAGGCTCGGGTGGTGACATTAACACAACAGAAACCCAACTTACTAAACAGTGTGGTATCTAGTCCTTGGTATCCTTGCCAATTTCGAAAAATAAACTCTAATAAGATTGGGTTTTGTTTCTGGTATTTAAAGTCTTCATGAGTAGAAAGTGATCCTATGTAGTGAACTGGCATCAGCAAATTTGGGTTAGATGGGATAGGTCCGAAATTGTTATTGGATGACATATACACATTGACATAGATTTGCATTTCGAAATAAAAACTGTTATTACCAACAAATATTGTCAACGTGTATGAGATGAGAGGCGGTAGAAACAGGGGTGATCAAGCATCTGTAAAATAAAATTATCTTTAAACTGCCTACTAGCTGAGCTGAATTCTCTTGTTCATGTTTAAATAATGCACATTGCTGCTTCTACTTGTTTAACCAGAGCTCAAACGTTTACCTATTTAGAACATCTCAAACTAGTGAATTAATGCTTAAATCAAGCTTGAGCATAGCTTGACCTTATACTTCTGACATAAGCATGTTGCATTGGTGTTTTGTGATTAAAATTGCTCAAATTAATAAATAAATAAATTGACTGGAATAGACTGTGCAGGTACCATAGGAATGTTTTCAAGTCATGCTGCATCTAAGCAACTAAATGGTTACTAGTTGATTCTAAATATATGTTTCCACATTGTGTCTCTATTCTAGCATGTTTTACAAGATTATGGTTGTTCTCTTATAAGTTCTTTTTGCAAATATGTTATATATGCTGCTGCTATAATGATGTGTTATCTTGTAAGTTCTGTTTGCTGGGATGTCATATGTGATGCAAAAACCAGCTTTATATCATATGATGGCAACATCTCCTAAGTTGTGAATTAGAGCAACTTCTAGATATTGCATTTTCATGGTTGCTTTAAGCCTTTAACTACAAAAGACATCCTCTGTCCTGTTTCTCAAAGTTGTTTACCATTATTTTAGATTGTGCATTGGCGAAACCATTTGAGATTTCCAGAAGATACAAGGTTGTCTCCTGAGGCAAAGGATCTTATTTGTAGATTATTATGTGACGTTGAGCACAGACTTGGCAGTGGAGGGGTAGATCAAATAAAGGTAATTTTAAAGTAGATAAATTCATGAAATTATAATCTTTATTTGATTTCTATAAATTGTTGACAATTGTACTTTTTCAGGCTCATCCTTGGTTCAAAGGTGTTGTGTGGGATAAACTTTATGAAATGGATGCAGCATTTAAACCTGAAGTTAATGGCGAATTAGATACTCAGAACTTCTTGAAGTTTGATGACGTATGTCTTAACCTGAAGTTATTATTTTTTTATTGCTTGTGAATCATAGTTTAGTTCTTTTCACTTACTTTCTCAATGCTTATAGTCATTACAAAACTGAAGCTGATTAATTAGCATCTAGCAAACAATGCCACTTTGATTTCACATTTCTTCTCCCAGCTCCTGTGTTCCGTTCCAAAACCTTAAAATTATATGATATGCTCACTATTTAATGTACTCAGATTTTCTGTTATACATCCTGCAAGCATTTTCAAGTTCAGACTCCATTTTGGACTTGATCTTATATGTCCCAATTCTTTGCTCACAGCCGTTGCTTTCTATTATTAGTTAATTTTTTCTATTTATTTTCCAAAATTATATGTTTTAAATGGTTTATTAGCAATGAAATATTGAATTCTTGAATTTTCTTATTCTGAACTTCACCTTTTGTTATATTTTTGGTATGTGATCCAGTTGGATCCTCCTCCAGCAAGAAGCGGATCTGGGCCTACACGGAAGGTGTGCAACTTACAAGAGTATTTTCTTAGTATTCATTGGTCATAAAAATAACGTATATGCTGATACATTTAGTTTCTGATTTACTGTGGTATAGTTTCGTTTGGAAAACTTAATTAAATTGGCATTCATTAATTGGGAATTTGGTGGTAAGTATCAAAGAATTGAGCAAATGAACAGATGGATAGTTGACTGTAAATTGTAATTATGCCTTTCTTCTATAGTTCTACAAAAATGCAGTCTTAAACCAGTAAATTTTAGTGGATAAAAGTAGCTTACTACATCCATTTGTCAATCTTGATTATAGATAAGATTAAATCCTATTTTTTCTGATGAAGTGGTCATAAGAGGAGGCCATTTTTTGTGTGCATTCACCACCACAACGTATTTGTACCTCTTCAAATTTGAAAACATTTTCATCATAGAAATTGTCACTAAATCTACCTATCATAATTGTTTAGCTTTATCAGTGTCAATAAGATGGATTGCCTAAAGTTTTCTTATCAGAATTATTTAGTTTTGTCAGTCTCAATAAGACGGATCACCTAAAGTTTTCTTGTCAGAATTATTTAGTTTTATCAGTGTCTATAAAATGGATCACCTAGAGATTCTTTGCTGCTGGAGGATTAATTTGGCCATCATCCAGTGTATCAACTATTCATATAATAATTGCATTAAGTGTGACATTAGAGTTATTCAACATAATTGTTGTCTGTGCTTCTGATACAGTATGTTGAACCACTAGCTACCTTGCTTGGTTACCAGAATTACCTGACATTTTGTGATATATGATATGCTTCTTTTACCTGACAAAATTACAAGTTCTTTTACTAGAATGTCACAATGTGATCTATCTATTCACCTATAGGACAGTTAGTAAGGACAAGAATAGTAATCACCCTCTCAGCAATTTGTTAAGAGTGGGCATGATTTTTCTCTCCATCCGTCAGCACTGGTCAAGAAACAATGATATCAACTGAGATTTCCTAGTCATTGGAGTGCAGTTACATGGATCCTTTTCTGCTATTGAGTTGTTTTTTTGGGCAATATCACCAGTTAGAGCTTATCATCTCTTTTCTTGTACAAATCCTATTTGGTTGTTAGCTAGCTCCTTTAGCACTACAAATCTGTATTAGCTTATCTCATTTTACTAGTGTATTTATATAACTTCTTTGAATATGTCATATCACCTTAAGTTAGTTTCCTTCATCTTCTCCTTTAATCGGTGTCATCCCTAAATTTCTGCACTTGCAAACAGCTGGTCTCCTATCTTTTGTGGTGACATCACATGTTTATTTGACATCTTCCTTTTTATGACTGTATCTTCTTGGATCACTTTTGTTATATCTCTTGTCAAATTGTCTTTTAATCTAAGGTTAGTTGATGATTTGTCAACACTCCACTTGCACTTATTCTACCATTTGTATCATTTGCAATATCTGAAAATTGTCTTTAATATAAAGGGCACTTGATGTGAGAGTTCTGTTGATCCTTATGTTTATAATTTGCACTTATTTATCATTTTTTCATTTTTTTTCATCATATTAATTTTTAATGTGCTTCTTGTGAAACTTGCTGACTCATTGTTGGAACATATTTTAACAGAAATTGCTAAATCCACAAGATTTGAGCTTTGTTGGATATACTTACAAGAACTTTGATGCTGTGAAAGGGTTAAAATCTCTTGGTATGAAAACTATCCTTTCCACAGGATATTGGAGGTTTAATTCATTTTATTGCAGTTATGATCTTGTTGTCAGCAAATATTTGATCAGTTCTTTTATTTGATATATATCTGCATATGTTCATTCTGTTTTCATAATTAGGTATGCTGTATTTTGAAAGGTGGAAAACAAAGAAAAAAAAAAACAATAATGGGTTCTAAAACTACAAAATATAGAAGCTAATTTAAAGAGGCAAAAATGGAGATGAAAGATGGAACAAAATTCATTGCCCGTGATAGATGGAATAGTTTTTCTTGAACTGCAATTTCTGATGCCAGAAGATGGTGGCCATTGTTCAACACATGAAAAGATTAGTTAAAAAGCATCTCTAGTTTTGCTTTGTGCGGTTTTCATCTTTCCCTCCCTTTGAAGGAGAGAACACGAGGGAGAAGCTTAAGGAGAGACAGTAAGATTGCATGCTTTTATCAAAATAGTACCTTAATGATAGTCATTAGTCGTTTGGTAATCCAGTTCACAACATAGTTAACAAAATTGGATGGTGAACATTTTCTTCTTCAATTAGACTGGGCAACCTGGCTTGTCAGAAGAATCTTGATTCACATTTCCAGCAGAAATTTTGGGTAGACATTATCTTGTGGAGGCTTTGGCATACATCAAGCGGATAGAAGATGATATATAAACTTCTTAAAAGAAAAGATTAAGAGAATTGTTGCTGTTTTGCAGAGACTAATTCAGCCATGATATTATTTACCAGCTCATAGGTTATGTGCATCTTTTGAACAAGAGATGAATATATCTCACTTAAGTAGTGGATGAGCTGTCTAGATCAGCTGATCCACTCAGTAGAGTTTAAATGAAATGATGATGAAGTTATTATCATGTAATCTAATTCTTGATGCACTCACATCTGATCTAATCCATAAACCGTTCTAGCTAGAAGTTTAAGTCTTGTATTATCCGACACCTTGACTCTGAAAGTCTTCACTGATTCATCTTCTGGTCCATGCAGCCTCTACCTTCACTTCTGATGCAATCCATAAATTGTTCTAGCTAGAAGTTGAGGTCTTGTATTATCCAATTACTTAAAGACTCTGAAAGTGTTTGCTGATTCATCTTTTGGTCCTTGCAACCTCTACGATGGATGTAATGGATTTGAATATTCATCCATAGATAGTTTTGTCTAGCCAAGTGATCAATATGTCACATTGGTGTGGGTCCATATGCCACAATGTGATGGTAGGAAAGATATTAAAAAGAACATAAAAAGGAAAAAAAGGATTACACATTATATCTCTCATCAAATAGGCAAATATTACAGACAACAGTTTGAAGATGGAATATGAGTCTCTTCTTTTGTTTTTCTTTCTCTTGCCTTCTCATTCTCTTTTTTCCTCTTATTTGTTTCTTGGGTTGAAGATGAAAGAAAAGAGGTTGCCCAAGCAAGCAAGCTCTGCGCGAATTAAAAGATATAACTTCTTTTTTGTCTTTCCCAGAAAACAGTGAATAAGGTTGTTGAATTTTTTTTTCAGTAAAATCTGCAAATTATTTGTTTGGCATGGTAGTGTTTTTTGTTAAGGTCAATGACAAGATATGGTATTTTTTAATTAAACATTTGCTTGATTCTATTAATTTTGCACAAATAGCTATGTGTCCAAGTTATAGTCTGTTTGCACAGATGCATTTGACATATAATTGTTGTCTTAACCAGTCATCCTAATGTTTCTTAGCATGACTCATGCCTGACTGACTAATTGGTACACTTTCACTTTGTTAATCATATTAAATAGCTACTGAGCAAGCATCTACAACTCAGAAGGGGTAGCATAAGATACTACAACATGAGGGTACATTATTATTTTTGAACCCTTTAAAAGCTTTTGACCTAGTTTCATTTGATTCTTATCTCTTAACATTTTGGCATTATCTACATGTGAATGTTGGTTGTCTATTTTGTTTAGATTGAATAGCCTATAGAGATTACTTCACGTTTTATTTATGCTCAATCTCTAAAAGGACCCTTGCATCTTCACTTTTATTGTTTTGGTATTTCTTGGTCTTCTTTTCCTTTCCCCTCATGTTTTTATCATACGTGAAGGAAATCCTACATTATTAAGTTATTTAGATTGTTGACTTCATGCAAAAGTCATTGATTAGTCGAACTGCATATTCATCAACCAAAATATTTGGATTATCCGTTTCATAATAGTCTACATTTCATTTGCTCCAAACTTCACTCTTGCTTTTCCAGATTAATCTTTCCATTTGAACATAAAAATAGCATCTGCAGACATTTAAACAATGTGAAATATGGTAGCTTACCTGCACTGTATGTTGGTTTCTGTCCAGTATCCAGCACTGATGATGGTTATATATATTGTTGTTGCATTATGGCATGTGGTTGATTGCTGAGGTTATGGATGTACCATTGGTTGTAACAGTAAGATGAGATTAGAACAATATTTTTTCAGTTATCGAGGTTATGTTGTTTTGGTTTCTTTATGTCTTTGCAGTTTTAGCTTTTGTTTGTCTAAAACAGCACATCACTAAACCATGCATTTACCAATTATAATATGCAGATTCAAAAAGAAGTTTGTCACCGAAGCGACCATCAATTGATTCTATATTTGGTAATTTGTGGGGGACATTTTCTACTTATTCTACTCTTTTATGTCATGCATGATTCAACTTCACGTTGCTCTCTTTATTTTTAATACTGGATTTTTTCTTTGCTTTGCCAGGTGACTCAGTCACGGACAATGCAAGGAAATCAACAGGAGGGAATACTGATGTGGACATGGTTTCATCAGGGGATGCAATGTCCCCATAATTCACATATCCATTGAGGGGTTTATCCGGACACATGCCCAACCAAATGTGGCTATTGGACTTACCTGCTTATTTTTAGTCAGGTCTGCCCAATTCCGAGGTCCTGATAGGCTATCTACTTGACATTTTGTAGAACCAAACCAAATTTTAATTTGTACAGTAGTGTATTAATGATGTCTAGAAGAAAAGCCAAAATGCTGCAGTATTTATGGTGGCTGAGACAAGAGATGGCTGTGCGCACGTATTTGTCCCGGCTGCCCAGGTTGGCAGACAAAACATGCCTTCTCTTGTGGCAGTTTCTATCTGGATTTACTTCGATGACAACATGATAATACTTTGTGCACGCTGCGGATATGTTGGTGTTGTTCGATGTGTATTCTAGGAATTTTAGTTTCGTTAGTGTCTTGTTGAACCGCGCATTATTTGTGATATCATTTTTGCCTTAGTACAAGTATATGTTCACTGTGATTGCCATGAGCTTGCTCCAGCAATTTAATTTATTTCTTAGAAGGTATGTGATAAGTCTTTCCTGCATGATGTTTCATATTCTGACAGACTAGAGAGCAAGTATTAATGTCAAAAGAAATTTTGACTTTTCTTAAGATTGTGATGATACTGGCAACTCATGTTTCTGTTATTTGAATGTTGCTTCCTAACCAAAACAACCATCATTGACTCTACTTTTCAACTGAAGATGTTAATATGAAGTTGGTGGATTTTTGTGGAAATTATTGCCTAAACACTTATTTGTCACTTTTATATCAAACAGGATCCAATCCAAGTGTTTGGGTTACGCAGGCTTCTCATTGTCCAACTTTGAAGAATTAAGGTAGGCTAAGCATTATTAATATTTAGCTTCACATTGGGGTGGCCTCTAAATTTTTGCAAGCAGCTTTAATTGTTCTTAGCTTTTTCTTTTCTTGAAGCTATATGACAGAGTCTGGAAAGCTCAATGCAAAAAATACAACTGTCATCAGGTCAACGTGTGTGTGTGTATATATATATATATATATATATATATATATATATATATATATATATATATATATATATATATATATATATATATATATATATATATA